GTTTGATGAAGTTTTGATGCCTGCTTTTGTGAGCGCTGAAGCCTCTATAAAGCATGCTGGTTTATGCTTAATGTTATAGTACACGTGTAATTGGCGGGTCATCGCAACTCGTGATTGTTGGGGATCATGCATTGCAGGTCAAAGATTTCATTATTTTTTATTGAATTTTGAATATATGCATGTCACGACAAAATTGGATTTTACAATTATTTCATTGCTTTAATATTTTATTGTAAAAATTTGCTTTGAACCACGTTCAGGGTAATTTTTTACGGTGTCAAGTCCCTTATAATTAATAACACACAAAAATAATATCAAAATCATGAGCGAGCATCGACTTCAATAATTGTGTACGACCTGACCACGCTCTCTTCGATCGAACAGGCAGCCTGACTCTGAGCTTATTTTATTCTTCATTCGGTTAATTAGGGATTTAGTCTGCAAAGGACGATTGGTTTTAGCCGTTAAGCTATGTTAATAGATTTAATAAATTTGATAAAACGAACTGATGTAATTATAAATTTTCAGTTCAATAAGAGAAAGCCAAAAAACCACAGGCATATATTTTCATCTCTTAGAAAAATGATCGGCAAAGTAGGAAAACACAGGCATCATCAAATTATCCGAATCGTAAATGGTTAAATTTAGCTTTTTTATTTAAAATTATCATTAAATGCTATTATGACACCACTTTTGTTACCAATTATTTAAAAAATCATAATTAAACTGACTCTTTTTAATCATTCACAAAAGGCAAGGAAGAAAGTTCTCTGTGTGCCCTTCGAGACTTGTCCACATCTGAAAACACACAAAGTTTAACACAATCTCAGTTCACGTCGATGAGACTGTGATGTTTAGATGCATCTAAAAATATTTTATTGCAGTATAGAGTAACACATCTGTCCTATAACTGCGTCCAGCCTAAAGCTGTAAATCTTATGATCAAAGGATTATTTGTCTTACAACCTTCACAGGCATCTGCTGCGTTCCAACACGCATCCGTAACGTTCCAACACGCATCACTGTAGCGCTCCAACACGCATCACTGTATCGCCCTAACACGCATCACTGTAACGTTCCAACACGCATCGCTGTAACGTTCCAACAACGTTCCAACACGCATCGCTGTAACGTTCAAACACGCATCACTGTAGCGATCCAACGGGCATCACTGTAGCGATCCAACGCGCGTTCCCGCGAATTTGGGGGCGAGTGTAGCGATTATTAATGCCACATTGGCGTATTGCTCACCGAAGAAGATATTAATTCTAAAGGACTTCGCCAAATGCCTTCCATGTACCTGTTAACGAATAAATTTTTTAAATGCAGCATTCATTCATAAATCAGCATATTATTCCTGAATAAACGTGTATAATATTCGAAAATAAACGTGTACAATATATTCATACTCAAACGTTTACAACTGGCAACATTCCGCGCATATGTGAATTTAAAATTCAGTCGATTTGAGAACCGGCACAAACTGGACACGTTAGCAGCGTTTTAATCTAGCTGCACCACATGCAAGTACCTTCAACAGTTGTTCGCATATCAAAAGTAATCACACAGAACTTAATCTTTTCCTCCTGGATACATTTACTGTCGTCAATGCTATCGTATAACTAGTGGTTTGAGACCGAGAAGTCCAGTCAGTCACGAAAGAATTAAATTACTTTTACAACTTTAATTCGAAGCGCACGGGAACACATCAATGCATCTTTAAGTCATGCGTCCAAGTACACCTTCATATTTCATTCATTTGAAATTTGATTGACGGTCTAATTTCAGCAGTTCCTCGTGTATAAGATCCACTTTCAGTCAGTCACTCTCCGACCACGTCTTAGTTTAGAGTCATGTTGATCTCCTCGACACTTATGGTTAATTTCTATTTTTTGATTGATAAAATATAATTTTTTGCGTTTATTTTCGTGCCATGAACGGGATTAGTTTTTAGATCATTAATGAGACTGTCTCTGTCGTAAACACGATGTGCTTTTGAGGTCTACATTTATTCGGTATGTCATGTTCCTCTCATGTCAGGTGAGATATTTACTATAGGTGGAGCGTTTTCTTAACTTTTACATTTCTATATTCCACAACAGTTCGGAAAAGTCATGGAAGGGTATAAAAAGGACGTTATAATTTTAATATAAATAATAAACTAATAATTTTTTATAAAAATTTAAACCCCAAGGTTGATTCCTTCATGATTCGGAGGTTGTTTGAAAATGTTAAAAATTTGAAACAAAAACATAGATAAGAAAATTTTACCAACAATCCATGTAGTATATTGAGAGTAACGATGGGCAAAATAATCAATGAAACGTCTTTAAAATATATGTTCCAAGTTTCTAAGCCCTATCTTATCGTCTTCATTTTTAGAATGTCATAAAAAATGTTTAAAAAATATGAGGATGAAGCATAGTTATGAATATTTTCTACAGAATAAACTTTGGTTACTCTAGGGTTGCAGTAGGTTAAAACCATTATTAAAAACTCTCTGAGATACATTATATTATCTTAATGGAGTATATTATTATCTTCATGGTTAATGGGTCACTCTAAAAAGCCGACTGACTTAGCCATATGGCATCTGAATTTTCCTTCTTAACTATCTCCAACCTGGATATTGAATTACAAACTACTTGACCAATAAAATATCAACTTTCAACGTAATATCTTCGAGACGTCATCCCAAAATAAAATTCTGAGAATCATCATAAGAACAAAGGTGTTGAAAAATCGCATTTCCCGTTATGAGAAAAATAAAAGTTGCCATCTAGTAGCGAGCAGACGAAAAAAATGATCTAAATACAATTATACATTCATGGTGAAATGAATAAGGGACTAAAACAAAAACTTCATTAGGATGTATTATATTAGCTACCACACTCCCACAACCACTCAGAACCACCGAATATAACAGAACCCAGAACCACTCAGATCGAACACCACCGCAGTGTAATCCATCAAATAGTGGATTATGGCAAGCTTCTGTGCTGCTCCATCCAATCTCCTTTAAACTGGTATTATCATTAATAGTTATGTGAAAATAGTCATTAATGTCATGTGAAAATAGTCATAAACTGTCATTAATAGTCATGTGAAAAAAGTCATAATATTGGCAAATAGTCATTTGCCATTATTGTTAAGAAAAGGTGTCTGCAGATCGATTAAACTGAGTTTTGCAATTCATTTTAAGGTCTTATTCCTCGTACATTATTTCCTGATCTACCTCATGCTAACCAAGGCTGATGTATAAGGGCATTCGCCACCTCTCATGGGCCATCGCTACCTCTAATGGTACCGGAGATAGCGATTAAAATCTTAAATGTCCAGGAATGCTTACTCGAACTTTTATTATTTCGAGAAGTCTTGTGAAAGAAATTATTGATACTTGAACATTTAAGAGGATGATTTGATAGAAACTATCCGTAAATTGAAACTTTGACCTCTATATACGGACGATTGTATTTAAAACACTTCTCTTAACTCTTAAACTTCACTTCTTGTTGTTTGTCTGCTACAAATCTTATAATCGATATTAAACACACTACTACCTGTCCAATCGATCTGAAATTTTGCACACTTGCGTAAAGTTGGAGACAATGCTTGAATCAATTGACAGATTATGTAATTTAAAAAATATAACTCAGTACTCACTGCAGTGAGTGACAGAGAGCGCATTTTTTCGTCGACGAAAACGTGAAGTCACGGACAGACGGACGGACATGACGAGCACAATAAGGCATTTTTTCCATAAATGAGAAAATGAGGGGAAAATTATATGTATATTAAAAAAGATTTAAAAATATTTTTTTTAATATTTAAAAATAAAATAAGAAATTCATTGTACATGTGTAAAATCGGAGACACTGTCTCTTTAGGAGAGTTGTCTTTAAAAAGTAATTTTTGAACGGATAATTTTTATTTTCTCGTCTCCCTCAACGACGAACGCAGTCATCGTCCCAAATAGCGTCCGAAGCGCCAAATCGCTGATTATATCCGGCGTCGAAATGTAAAAAATGTCGCTATTTAGATTCAAATGCACTCAGTATATTTGAGCGAAGATTGACAGAATATATCGAACAAACCTTTCAGCTGCAAGTAACACCACGATTAATTACCGAATACAGATGTTAACAGAGCAACATTATGAATAAGAGCTAAGAAGGCACATGCTTTGGTATACGAGTGTCAAATGGCCAATTTGACACTCCAATTACATTGGTAACAATTTTAGGAAAAACATTCATTTTTAGAGAGACCCTCTTGCGATGAAGATGGTAATAAGGAGCTCTGCAAATTGAAACATATATCTACATGAATTTTTTCCGAACTGTTTTGAAGTCGAAATCCAAATTTGAAAAGAACGCTCTACCCTAGTATCTATGTCAGACAAATTAATCTGTCTTATTCTGTATTGATCAGACTCATGTAGCTGAGTTTAAGTCAGGCCAATATTTATAACTCACACCTTTCGCTCAAAATGTTTTCTGTCATCCATTCCTCTACCTATATTGTACAATCGGCAATGTGCAAAAGAAACAGAATTGAGTATTTAACGGGTTCTTTGCCTGGTTACATGAAACCGCGGGTAATTCAAGCCGGTGTTACCTCGTGTTGTATTAGCGCGTATGGGGAAAAAAGTGTAACGCATAAAATCACAATCGCGTTTAAAATTGTCTTCAAGTTAAAATTTGTTCTCCAAATCAAGCAATTTGCAGGGAATTTTTTATAACATATAATAAAAATTGTCAATAATAAATTCTACGATGCAATCATGAAAATATCAACCCAAGTTGATAAATTCTTCAGAAAAGAACCAACAGGAAGATAAATTTATAAATTTGTAAACGTATGACATAAGATTGTCATCATAAACATTCCCGCCATCAACATAAGATTGTCAGTGGCGGGAACAAGTTTTAGACTGAAGTGTCTACATATACTAACATTTCTGCAACGATTGATATAAACTTGTCAATGCTATCTTTCAGATCATAAGTAATTGACTGTCATCATTTTTGGGTAGAGTTTAATTAACTAGTTGATTAGATTTATAGATTGTTAGCAGCATTTAAAATTAGAGGTAATCGCAGTATAAGTGCTACGGGAATGAAGCCTCGCCCATGGCTGTCAGGCGGGCTCTGCCTGGCGCTGTATCTCGCCCACTCGGCAGCCCTCGGAGACTATTCGTCGATCTCAGCGAGATCCCTGGGTGAGTTGCCTGCTTCTAGCTGGAGAGAGAGAGTCAAAAGACCGTGAAACCGCTCAGAGTACAAGCCGATGCATCGCACTGTGTACTTTGGCTATGCTGACCTCTAGCTATCCACCCGTGGAACTTATGGCCTGGAAGGCAACCGGTGGCACGGTGGCGTTGGCTTCGGCCTGGCGCTAACCGAAATGCTTGTGGAAGAGCTAGCTTCAATGTTGGGTTGCAATGTAATATCGTGTCTCAGATTCAACATTTAACGCCAACTAGGAGTATATTTTGCACGATTTTAATTTTATATGCATCGTTTTCCTTCATTTCATATTTGAAACTTATGAGTCCGAAACTTGTGAGATCAATTTGCGATCGCTTATTATTCCCGTTATTTCCTACAGCTGAAATTTCCTAGAACATTAGAATATTGAGTTTTAGTGCAATTATATGATATTACAAATGAAAGTTTATTAAGGAAGATATTAAAACTTTTATTAAAAATACCCATCTGGTATTTTTACGACCTGGATGTCCAACATGATTTGCGCGATTGTAAGCTCGTCAGACAGAGACGACTTGCAGTTTATTTGTTCCAGTTTGCGAAACTAGAAGGGAGCATAATTGACATTCAATTAATTAGCAATTAGGTAATTTAATGGAGACTGTGGAGCGATTAGACTATATGGCGGTTGATTTCCTTCACTTCAGGTACAGTCAAACTTATGAATAACACTAATATGATCCAGTCTTTTTCCAACCTATTTCTCTTCAGTTTCTTCCCACCATAATTTGAACTTACTTCTTGCATCACTTGCAATAACTGCATTTCATTTTGGTGCTTAGCACTCACGACGTTATGGATCATCACAGCGAAGTTTTTAAGGAAATCAATTTAAAAACAGACTCCAGTTGCATTCTGAAACAATTTAGAACATCATGGCTGGAAATTCTATCAATTTTCCTATTTTCAGTGTTGAAAATTGCTAAAATAAAATCGGTTAAAGGAAATTAAAGCTAAACTTGATGGAGGGCAGAGCTCAGTTGAATGCATCGCGTTCATGACAGCAGAGCTTAGATCATGAAGAGCAAGGCTCGATGCAGAGCTTGAATTAGGCCAGAGGAAGGTCGGGTGCAGAGCTACAAATTTCGACAGAATAGGGCTTAATTGATGCAGACCTTCGACTACGACAGAGCGAGGCTCGTTGCAGAGCTAGGATTACGACAGAGCGAGGCTCGATACAGTCATTCAGAGCTGGGATTACGACAGAGTGTGGCATAACTTAGCATTTCTTGGTTGAAGGCATTTAGGCAATTCTCTGATTTACTGGGCAAGTTTGTGTTAGAGTGTTAAATTTTGATTGATTGCATGATTATTGATGTTCAATGTAATCTCTATGTTTACAAACCTATCTTCTTCTAAAGTTACTACGAAACACTAGGGATAATCATCGGACTTATTTGCGTTTTCATAATATGGCATTTGAAATTTCGTTCCAGCACAAGGTGTCGATATAATTTCTGGCTGCTGCCGCTGGTAATAGCGATATAATTTTATTCAAAATCTAAATTTTCTTCGCTATTACAGGCAACAAAGATCTGTTTCGGCTTTTTAATAATTTTTGAACTATGGTAAAAAAATATATTCATATTTTTCGATGTCGCGCAAATTTATAGCGGTAATTTCCGCTATAAAAAATATCGCGCAATAAATCTTTTCATAATGTGAAATGAGCAACAAAGCCACGTTCGGTTTGAAACCAATAGTAACGCGTCCATCTCGACTGCAGTAAGTCTCCTAACAGTCGACTGGTGTCTATCACTAAAGTTCCTGTAAGGTCATCGATCCTGCCTCCAGGGTCAAGCAAATAATGAAGCATACAGCATATCAGCTGCTGAAGTTTTGATGCCTGCTAATACGACCATTGAAGCCTCTGACACGTGCCATTTTTACATGAGACACGTGCCATTAATTACATGTGACACGTGCCATTAATTACATGTGACACGTGCCATTAATTACATGCGACACGTGCCATTAATTACATGTGACACGTGCCATCAATTACATGTGACACGTGCCATTTTTACATGCGACACGTGCCATCAATTACATGTGACACGTGCCATTTTTACATGTGACACGTGCCATCAATTACATGTGACACGTGCCGACACGTACATTACAATGACACGTGCCATTTAATACATGCGTAAAGAACACGTGGCCATAAACGCAGTAAACGTGGCCATACATAATTTTTGAGATCACGCAATGTTGTTCAGATTTTACACGATTCGTTTCCTAAAATTATGAATACTGCAATACGGTCACTTCTAAAATTGTCAATACAATTATTTCGGTTCATATTTATTTTTGGTCCAAGAACTGCTTTGAACTACATTTAGATGCATCTTATTGGGTCTCAAGTCTCTTTTCATACCGCGGAATAACATCGTAATCACGGAAATGCATCGACTTCAATGATTATGCTGGTCACGCTCACCTCGAGCACCACTTTAATCACTTGAACAGGCTTGGGTATAAGACAGAATGACACGCTGCTGACCTTATGATGAGTTTAGGACTTCTTAGTCCACGGTCACGCCTGCGCCTAATTTTATACTTCATTCGGCAGGTTGGGCCCTTATGTAGCTTTCAGAGAATTAAATTAAAAAAAGCACTTATATTATATATTATTATATTATATATTATTATATAATATTGCAAACGCTGAGGCATGGCTGAGTGTACCTCGAAGATGACTCTTGCTGCTCCAACAGCCACTAAAATGCAACCAAATTGTGTTCAACTTGGCGATGTCACTGAGCGTTTTCCCACAATTTTCCCTGCGTTGCATGTGTCCAGCGCGTGCTCGTGTAAGGTTTATTCAAGTTAATAATGTAACTACAATTTGTAACGCGTATTATTCCAGTTGTTTTCTACTTCTGTCAATTTCTCTCATTTGCGCTTCAACTCCTCCGCACATATGAATAATTGTCTAGCAGCAACAATTGCTATTTTTATTTAAATTACATGCGAACTTCCGTCATGCGTGGGAATGTATTATGTTTCATTTCGCGGATGACAGCCTTTTGCGTGACAGATTTACTTGTTATATTATTTTTCCAATGGACTCTTGTAATAATATTGGTAGTTATATGAAAGTATTATATCTCTGTTTTGGTAAATTTCATTAAACTCTCTTATCTTAATCTCAATTTGATTTCAATGTGAACGTACGTCCATTGAAATTGGTTGATTACTGCATGATGCAAACACTATTGCTGTATATTAACCTTAATAAGTTGCAGATTAATCGTTTCACATGGGATCTGTCTCAAAATTATCTCGGGCTCGGCGTAGTTTGAGGTAGAATTTTTTTATTTGAGCATACTTGTCAATCTCGATGAATATAAGTCTTTCTATGCTTGGCTAGGAGTGCATGCTTTAATTTTTTTTCAAAACCATTGCAGGAAAAAAGAGGTTCACCGATAGTTCTGTCCTACTGACCCAGACGGTCCCTCGCGTGTTGGCTTGCCTGGACTTGTGCCGCGGCTTCGAGCTCTGCGTCGCCTTCAGCTACGATGGTGACGTACAATGAAAAACTGGCACATGATAACAATGATTTTCTTCTAATTATGTGAGAAATTTTAACCCTGAATTCATTCACTGGCTTTTCAATCAACTTTCAATGTATTGACAATGACAGGCAATTTTTAAAAATAATAATAACGCAATCATCACATTCGCCAAAAGCCTCTATATAAGGACTGTCAAGAGGTCGTCCCGAAAAATGCAGCCTCAATAAGCTTACAAGAAAATAGGTCTCTTGGTATGAATGTCCAAGTTTTAACGGCTATACAATTTAGATAACAAATTCGCGCAGAGGTTTGATGATAATTAAGTTTTTTTTGTGGAACTTCAAGTAAATTGAGGGAATTGCGGGCAAGTGAGAGTTAATTGTGCGCTGCAATAAGGATAGTGTATGAGGCGTGAGTGTCATTGTAGCTAGTGAGGGCTTTACACACCACGCTATGTGTAGCAATTGCTCTTAGGATTGCTTTAAGTTCTCCATTCAAATTTGAATTCAACGACCGAGCTGGTAGTCATTGAGTTTCAATGCACAATAGGAGACGAAAAATATTACTGTCTGCAAATAAATTCGAAAATATTTCTTAATAAGAACAACAATTCCATTAGCCTTGGTACCAGTTCAATTGGTACATTGTAAATAATAAATAAAATTTCAATTATCATAAATCATGAAACGTACCAAACTTCATCTCCTCGTCATAATAAAAGATTACACAATTAATTACGTATTCGGGACGACATTGAAGAAAGGAGCGGAATTCATCACCGTTCAAACAATTGGTAAATTTGAAGTCGACCGCCAGGCGTCAAATATTGGTCCAGTTCGTTACTGAAGTTCACTTATTCAATACTAGAATAGTATTAAACCCTGGAATCTATGAAAAACATAGACTATAAATTACCAAAATTAAGTGAATTATTTTAATTGATACCAATTTAATTTTTATAAGGATTTTAGCATTCACTGGGATGCATACACGTGAGAATGAACCTTTACCGCCGTATGTTACTCTCCGGGAACATACAATTATACGTAAACTAATGAGTGTAGCAATCTGAGGACTTTTGTACGAAACAGAGAACATTTTAAAGTTGTCGTACGTGGCGGCAACCATCAGTGCAAGTCATTTTGCGCTCACTATCAATTTATTTTTTTTTGTGTAGGCTTGTGTGACAATATTGCTCCGGTATACTCACATCAGGCCGTAGAGGGTTGAGAAATTTAATCCTAATATAAATAAATTTGTTACAATGTTTTTCGTACCTATGAAAATTAATCAAAAGCAATACTTTTACGATCTAGTTTAAAATTTTCTCATCGTAAATAGATCAGATTTATTCCAAATGAAATCATCTCAACAAATTTACACACACAGGTTAAAAAAAATAACGTAAATACATTTGCTTCACAAATTGCACTTGCAGGAGAACTGTTGTCAGTTCTATTTAATTCGTTCTTTGTCGTCAAACGATTATGATGTATAAACTGGAGTATAAGAACGATTTCACGACACACTTTAAAAAGTGAGTAAGAATATGTATATTGTCATGCAGTTTTTACTCACGTGTCACCTCAGTGTCATTCCTATAGTGTCATTATAATCCACTTCATCCGCGTAAAATGGCGTATTAATGCGGCAATCTGGATCTGCTTCTCTGTTTGGACAATAGACTCATTCAATTTTATGAGAGTAGAAATATTGTGACCAACAGAGGTATATGATTGCACACGACGAGCGTCGCCAGCCTCGCATGCGTGGGCATATTAAACTTTCCAATTGAATATTTCATCGACATTGATATTACTTTCGCTACACTCTGGGGTTTTAAATTGAACGTCCAGAAACTTTAGCAATTGAATGAAAGTTCATGATTGATAAAGTGTACGAAGGCAAACGAGAACTTAATCATGAGCGATCAAGTACACGTTGTATTAAAATGCACTATTTCTATTTAATTTTCTAGTATTGTTCTGAACAGGAAGTAATATAAGTACAATGATCGGTATTGCATTAAATATTAACCAGGTCGATTGATAATTAGCGTATCATTGATTAGTAAGAACCACTATTGGCAATAAAACAACCACATTTGCATTCGGAGGGCGAAGTTTTCTATAACCCTCAGCAGCCTTCCATTGGAACACTCATTTTGCTGCTGTTATTACAGCATTTAATTCAAGGATAGTCTGAGGCTTGTTATCCCTTGACTATCCTCTCTTCTTGTGGTATCTCCACTGATAAAAATGTTGGATATTAAAAGTTCGATCCATGCGGTTATCATTCCGGGTTTCCACGCGAATTTTCGGTGGTTCAGAGAAACGATGCTGTAGCCCCGCTATGGCTGCTAATGATTTGTGTTAGAAATAGTGAAGACTTAGGGAATCAAAACTATATTCAGATAAACGATAAGAGACTTGAAATAAAACACATAGACTAAATAATATATATAACATCACACAGTTCAAGTTAGCGTGTGTCAGAAACTATATTTTAGAGATGTGAAATCTAAAATCCGGTAATACTCCTCATATGAAGTTTATTCATACAGAATGAGTTCTTTAACACAATTTGTTTGAGGTGGCAGGATATCACTATCCTGCTGAAGCCCCTTGACGTTCTACACGACCTCTCCACATCATTGGCAATCTTAGGCATGGCTTAAGCATGACTAAAGTATCACTAAAGCATGGCTAAAGCATGGCTAAAGCATGGCTATATAGCATGGCTGAAGCATGGCTAAATCATGGCTAAAGCATGGCTGAAGCATGGCTAAAGCATGGCTAAAGCATGGCTAAAGCATGGCTAAAGCATGGCTAAAGCATGGCTAAAGCATGGCTAAAGCATGGCTAAAGCATGGCTAAAGCATGGCTANGTCATAAGCGAATGTTTGGCGCCAATGGGAGTTCGCGACGTCTCGGACAATTTTACGGCCGGACTCGCGCCCGGCCGGACCAGCGGCCGGTCTCGCAATTTCAGTGATCAAAGAATATCTAACAAACTAATGAATGAAGTTCAATGAAACTTGGTATACGTATTCATTAGGACCTAACGGTGATGTCTGTCTCTTATACACATCTAGATGTGTATAAGAGACAACTATAAGCATGGCTAAGTCATTGCTAAAGTATGGCTAAAGTATCACTAAAACATGACTAAGTCATTGCTAAAGTATGGCTAAAGTATCACTATAAGCATGGCTAAGTCATTGCTAATGTATTGTGTGCAGGAGTTTCGTGCCAGCTCAGAGGCACCGTGTCGATCGTCGTCGACTCGACGATTTGGGTCTCATACGTCATCACTCAACAGCCTGACCTCAATCTATTGGTGAGAATCAATACTCTAATGCTCTCTTTGGATTTTTGTCCAAATAAATACATCAATATGTCTATAAAAGATTATTTGACATTATTTTAATTATGATATAATTTCTTCAACACGCTTAAATCTACAGCATTACGGATTTGCCGTCGTCGTTGAAGCCCGTGCAGTCGGCTATATTGGATCAACAATTATCTGGTATACCTTGTCCATAATTAACGAAATTCATGTCAGGACATAAATAATCAGCACACATGAAATGAGTTTATTTCAGGGTTTGGCAGCGTTTGCTTCCAGTTAATTCATGACTGAAAGGTGAATATATTATTATTGTAATAACAGGACGTGAAGCAGCTAGCGATCTTCACCACAAAACACCTTCATTGACTCAGATATGCACGTATTTCCACTCGGACTTACAACAGAAGACCAGCTGTAATCGCAGGTTGGATTGCATGTGGCACATGAAAATCAACGTTCCCAGGACGGCTAGTTATGACTGCTCTACTTCTTCATTGCAATTTAATCTGAACATATCAACTCCAATACTGGTCATGTGGATCCCATTGCTTTGCTCATGACTGCCGGCAAAAGCCAAGTCCCAACTAGAACACAGAGGCGTACTCATCATCTCATCAGTTCAGCTAAAACCAATCATTGCCGCCTAAGGGTACGCACACAGTGGAAGCAGGTTTGCCCGCGCGGGCAACCTGCTCCAACCTGCCACAAGAATGAATATAGGATAATAATGCAAGTGTTCACAGTGAAAACCTGTACGAATAAGCTTTTGTATTCTATATTTTCACGCGCCAGCCTGAGCAGGTAACCAGCACGCTGGCAACCTGCTTTCATTGTGTACGTACCCTAAGTTTTGTCTTTTCTTGTACCGGCACCCTCTTTTTCTTGGTGAATGTATTAAGAGAGCGGGAAGCAAAAGATGAGCATCGCTGAATCAAGAAAATGTTTTGTAGTCCTTTGAATGGATTTTTATAGCTTTTTTAGGCTGCAGGATTTCCATTACCAATTTAAAGCCTTTATATTGAAATGAGTTAAGTGATTTATGCCTCTAATTTTCACAATTCAAATAGCAAGATATTTGATTAGAATAAAGTTCAGTTCTCGGTTGCTGATACCATACGAAGTTTCATTGCGTTGGGCTATTTATTAATTGATTTATTTTTTATTTTATATCTTGGTAGATAACTAACTGGGCGTAGTTCAATTCACTATCTACTTTCAGGATTGTGCCTTCAATCCTGAAATGGAAAAATTTTCATTAGACATAAAAAAAAGGAGAGGCACGTAGGCATTTTTTCTCAACTAATACGATCCAATTACTATTCGACAATAATTTTTTGGATAATTTTATGCGAGAAAGCACCTATTTAATTTAAAGCATTAACAACTAAAATATTTTCATTTTTAGAAAAACTTGGGCGCCGTTGGATGATTTGGAGGACGGTGGTTTAAATCAAAGTATTTTCTTACTAGAGTCTCTAGAATTTACGTGTACATGATTAAAATAATTATTTTACACCATATATATCACAATTATACCTCATTGAAAGAAGCTCGAGTTGTAAAGCAAAAAGATTCATGACACCAAGCACAAATTATCAGAAACGCAGTGAAGAAAACAGCTATGGAAATTATGCCAGAATTTATTAAATCAAGGTGGACGATCGAGCAAATCCTAAAACTGTCTCATTTAATAAATTGTCCAAGAAAAATTAACTGTATGTACAATTACCGGCAATTTGTTGTTAACAAGTTGTTTTTAAATTTTTATCAATTACGTAAGTCATTTGACGATATATAGAGATCAAGAACATGTGGAAAATTCTTGGGAGAGCCGGTACGGAATACAGTGTGCGTTTATGGAAGCTGTCTATTACCGGTAGCATTTTTATGGCCGGTGGAAAAACTGCAATATGTGCCTCCTTTGTCATCGAATCCACGTCAATACTTCCCGGCGACTTTTGATTTCTTACCAATGAATAGCGGCGACCTTTCAAATTTTACCTCATGGCCAATACACCTCGAACCTTTTCTATTGGGCCTCATCTCTATAATTATCACGGACGAAACCCTGTACAAGGTATTTCGAACATCGCGTATTTGCACTATCATCGAAGAATACGCAATGTATACGAAATAAATTGTGCGTAGGGTATCGTCGGTGATAATGAAAACACACAATAATGTAAATATAACTTGTGTGCACAGTTTAGTGTCGGTGATAGTGCAAATACTCGATGTTCAATGTAACTTAATGTGTACAGGGTTTCGTTCGTGATAATCATCGCGATAAGGGTCTTGAGATAATAGTTATGAGAAAAGGGTCATGAAAAAATGGTGATGAAAAAAAGAGTCAAGGTGGAATGGACATGGGTTAAAAAGTGAAAGGTTCCCGATATGACGGAGCTTCGGTGGATGTGGTCCGCCTTCCACCCTGAGTGAAGCCCGGCGAAGCCTTCACTGGACACACGTCCAATAAGGCGCTACCGTGTCCTCACAATGAGAGAAAACCAATGTCTCAAATTTCTCGATAATATCTCACCTGATATATTCACTGACAAAACTATGTGTAAAAGTTATATTGAGCAATGTTTACTACCCGATCACTCATTTGCAGATGGATCCGTGTGCTAGCAGCCCATGTCCGGGGGCCAAAGTTTGCGTGCGCTACTCGATCCCAGCCCAGCTACCGTACCACCCTGAGTGGGCCCTCAACTTCACGCTCCCAGGCTACGTCTGCACCAGTGCTACATCCTTGCTTGCCCAGCGCGATCAAGGCAAAAGTGAGTTCGTTGAATTTTCTGTGTTACGTGAAATAAGCAAACTAAACTTTCGATGACCCCAGACATTTGACCAGTGATCGTTTTTAAAGGATGAATAAAAAATGACAAACAAATAACTATAATAATAAATGAACGATAAATACAAGAAAACAAAACTATAAAAACTATAAACCGTGTGTATCTAGCCTTTCACTTTCAACTCGTAAGAATCCTAGGTTCGGAACCCCGCTCTTTGGTGGATCACATAGCAATGACAAATAAGTAAACATTCATTTGCGAAGTCATCGGTGGTGAATCAAAATGGAAATGACAAATTAAACGAACCCTATTGTAATCCCTAACAAAGTATTCATTTGTTACGCGTATTCATTAGGACCTAACGGTGATGTTCAGCTAGTGAACATTTTTTCGATTTCACTTCATCCGTCAGTAATAGAGTAATTCGTGCCCAAATTTGCAATGACCAATAAATTTATTTTAAACTGTTCTGTTTAGTAGTTTAGTAGAAATTTCTTGGTCACTGCGAATTTCGGCGCGTATTGCTGTATAACTCGCGGATAAAGTTGAAAAAAATAAAGTAATCAAAAACGGAAGTAAAACCGAAAAAATTGTCACGATCTAAACATCATCGTTGGGATGTTAGGCTTGTATATTCAATGTTTCGTATAAATCTGTTGAATAGTTTTGAAGAAATTTCTTGGTCACTGCAAATTTTAGCCCAAATTGCTCAATAAGTCACAGGAAGCTTGTAAGTTATTGAGGTTCCCTGTGTGTGAGTTCTCACAGGGGGTACGCAGCTGTGCACCACCAAATTTGTGCACTAATCAGCCTTGAAAGGAAGGCCTAGCATATTTCCGGACGACCACCAATCAGCCGCGGATTAAACTATCCGTCGGTAACCTGCTCGTGACATCATCTTGATTTAAATATTAGGAGCTTTACGCCACCATATTCTGAAGCGAATAGCCCAGAGAGTAATGGTTGTCCACCACTGAACGTTACATCGAATCGTTACTTCATACCTTGACTTTAGCTGGAACTGTAACTTGCGGACAACGGACTGAGACCAACTAGTCCAGGTCGCCAGTGGAACTGCATGCATCCTGCCGTGCACCACCAGACCGTCACTTTTAGCTCGCAACATCCGGGGTTGGGTTTCAGAAAGCATAGTTCTGTTCAAAAATCTATCGTCCTTCGACGAGCGACTTCCGCAGCTTCGCTAAATTACGTAACTTTTAGCTCACAGCATCTGGGGTTAGGTTTCAGATAGCATAGTTCTGTTCCAAAAATTTTAGTCGTACGACGCGTGGCCGTTCGTCCGTAGGCTGATTCGACAAACGGGGCAGATACGGACGGCTCCGGCGCGCTCCGTCCGTATGATGTAAAATTTGTTCGCGAATTGGCAGACGACGATGGGCCATCCGACGTCAGGATGTTTCCCTGTGTCCCTCAGCTCTAAAAGAATAAGAAGATGTTTTCTTGTGGGCTGATTGGTCTAATTCAGTGGATGTGATCTGTCTGGTGGCGTGCGGCTGACAATGTTGCAGTCAAGAAGTGTTGTAGGCTACGTTATTCAGGGAAGGGATCATGATAGTTCATTCGAAGCACGGCAGTGGTGATCTCCGACAGGCGTCCCCTCACAGGGAGCCTGTGAGATCTGCAACAATGTTCCGGATTTGAAAGCGAAGCCGTGCACCACAAAATTTGCACACAAATAAGCCCTGAATCGAACGCCATGGATCTCTCCGGACATTCACCCTCAGCCGTGAATGGAACCTGCTATCAGTAACCGGCCCTTGACATCCTTTTGCTTTGAATATTTTGAGCTTGACACCTCCCAGACACGAGGTCGGATAGACTAGAGTTGAATGGCCGTCCACCACTGAACGTTGCGTCGAAGCATCACTTCATACCCTGCTGCCAGGGCCACCGCTCGAACTGGAACTATCGCGCAACAGCCTGCGACCACTTGGCTTTGCCCTCCTCCGGCCTTGCATAAAACCTGCCGCGCACCACCAGGCCGTCGGTCGAAAGAGCCGTGCGACCGGCTGGGTCAGGTTAGGTTGGGTTAGCACTCGGCTGGAGCGTTCGACCAGCGGGCGCTCGACCGAGGGCTGATTCGACTCACGGCCTAGATACGGACGGCTTGGTGGCGAATATCACATTCGCTGCAAGGCTCCGGCGCGCTACGTCCGAGTGATGCAGAATTTTTTCACGGTACGGCGGACGATGCTAGGCCATTCGATCGCCGGCTGTTTCTCCTGAGGGCTAATATTTCTAATTCAATTGATTCGTTCTGTCTGGTGGCTTTCGGCTGCCTATATGATTGTCCAGAAGTGTTGAAGGCTACGTTCCGGAAGGCAGGAATCATGATGGTCCATTACATCCAGGGCAGTGGTGGTCTTCGGCAGGCGACCCCCGGATTTGATCAAAACTAGCCTTGTTTTCCATAAATACCTGAGACAAAGAGGTACAACATTTCTTCTCCCTTCGAGTCACCGACATGTGGAACAGCCTCCTTGATAGCATTGTTGACGCTCCGAGTATGAACGCCTTCAAAAACAGACTAGACGAAGCTATGCAGGAGCATATGTTCAGTCTCAAAATGCCTAGCAAATTACGGACCAGGCAATAAGTCCAGCAGCTATCTCAATCAATCGTCAGTTATGGAAAGATCGGGTTCCAAAGGCGACCTAAGTAATCAAGTCACGAAGAATTCAAGAATCGGCAACAGGCCATGGGCCTATTTCTTCAGTGCCGACACTTCTATTATATTCTATGAACAAGAATCGGCAACAGGCCATGGGCCTATTTCTTCAGTGCCGACACTTCTATTCTATTCTAATAGCAAAGCGCTGTTCTTGGAACAACTAAGAGAGGCCCTTAGCGAAAAAAAACAAATCAGAAAGATCACAACGACGCAACCTGTTCTTTAAAACAAAATATAACCCGCAAACATCAATAAACGACTTGAGGCGAGCTCTGCTCAAACATTGGCACCAGATAGAAGGAGATGAGGATATTCGATCACTCTTCCCGATACCGCCAACCATCTCCTATAAACGGCATAAAAATCTGCGTGAGTTCTTGGTAAAATCGAACCTCGGAAAACATATTACAAAAAACGAAGATCAAGATATCTTAGTTAACATCTTTTGAGCATCAATAATAATAACTATATATGAAAAAGCATAGATTTGAGCGAACTAAAGAAAACGAAAGAATATCGGGCACTCAAACCAAGGAATAGATATATCACGGAACAAGGAAGAAATTCACACTTTTGGTTGAATGCTGGTGAAGTGGCGGCGGCAGACGACAGGATGGCTGGGGATCACGTAATTTGGTGTGGCTTCGGCGGTGTCTCAGTGCAAACTCTTGCATTCTTAAGACTTAAATTACCATAACATTGAACTTGCCCTAGACTAATCTTAATATTACCCCAACATAACTTATAACTAAACTCAGTTTAATGAGAAGAAATTTAATGAACGGTGGGTAATTTCCTACACTTTAAAGAGCTTAATACAGTAAAAATATTGATAATAAGAGCAGGAGCTGTTATGATGTTACTCAAGATACGAAACAAAACTACTATGCAAAAATAGAAAGTATCTGGCTTGTGGTATATGCAATTGAAATGCATATGAGTAACTAAAACAAAAGGATGAATAGAAAATGCACGCATAATAACAAAACCGTTAAGTCTCACTTGGTGCGGGATTTTCTAAAAAAACAACCAAGCGGGGCCAAAGGCACCTGGTCTCTTGGGTGTCCCATCCTTTACAAACTATATACCGTGTGCCACAACAGTGCCATAACACTCGGTGTGCTAACGCACTTTTCTGAAAAAAGGTGGAGGTTCTAAAAACAACAAGCGGGTGAAAGGCAGCTGGTCTCTTGCGTGTCCCATCCTTTACAAACTAATAGTTCATTTATGAGTACTCCCATCATACATTTTTGTCGACAAACGCAATTAAAAAAAAACTAAATTGCGGAAATTGTCCGGAAAAAAGACCCTGCAATCCAAGGGTGGGTCGTGCCACACTCAACGTGTTAATGCTTCTTCCTAGTCAACAATAGAATGCTTTCTGTTAGCTTGAGGAACCAAACTACGTTATTCTATCGACAGCGCAAAATTGAGTCAGTGGGACGATTTTCTACTTACGATTCTCCAAATCATAGGTGCTGCAAATCGCTACTAAGTCTTTCGCTAAGCTAACAAACCACATTATGTGCTTGTGGCATGAATTGTTGCGTCAATGGCCGCAAAAATACGAATGGGGATCTTCAAAATTTTCGGTAAGTTTTTTGTAATGTGCGACCATCCTTTATCATTCACATGTATAGGAATTGGAAAATAGTGCTGTTAGTTTTTTTTACTTCCAGAGCATGTTATAAGTTTATGCAAAAAGGTTACATGAGTCTGAAAAGAAGATAAATGATAGAATTTACAATGAATTAGTATTGCACATGAATCAATGGGGCCTCATCACGGCTCTAGATCCTGACGTATTGGAGAAAAACTTAATAGTTGAATAAATCAATGCCAACCACTTCATTAGAGGCTCTAAAAATCTTTGAAGCAAATGTGGCGCCTTTAAAATTCTGTCGTGATCTACGTTCATCTACATCGCTTGCTACATCGCTGGTTGGCAGTGTCTTTTCTGTCTTTAATTGGAATTTATGGGAGCCTCTGAAAACTGGTTCAATGCGGCCCCATGTCAGAACAGTTCAAGGAATTTGACTGAACTTTCAGTTCCGGTACAAAATTGGGTGTCTTGAAAAAAAAACTCAAGATTTCTCAATGGCTGAACTGAAGGGTTGCAAAACGGGGCCACCAATGTGGAGACCATACCGGGGCAGAGAGCACCACTCCAGGGCAGAAAGCCCCACTCCAGGGCAGACATCCCCACTCCAGGGCAGACAGCCCACTCCAGGGCAGACAGCCCACTCCAGGGCAGATAGCCCCACTCCAGGGCAGAAACCTGGGGACACTAACCACTACCTGGGGACACTAACCACTCACCTGGGGACACTAACCACTACCTGGGGACACTAACCACTACCTGGGGACACCCACCACTACCTGGGGACACTAACCAGTAACCACTCACTCGGAGGCACTAACCACACATGGAGGCATTTTAAAATCTTTGTAACGAATTTTGCAGTTAGATGCCGGGAGCATTTATAGGTGTTTAGGAGTTAAATTTCACTTTAGCTGGTCGTACCATTCGCCGGCTCAACGCCTCGGAGCGGGACAGCACGGTATGTTCAAAGTTCGGGAAAGATAGTTCCAGAAAGATGACGTTGCAGCCGGCCGAAGCCGGCTACTGTCACGGGAGCTCAGCACAAAGAACCTCTTGTCTCAACGGTTAGAACAGAACTCGACCGTTGGCAGTGTCGTTGCTCTGCTTTGTGGTTGGTTATAGTGCCCCAACAACCACACATTACAGGTACGGTGAAGAAGTTAACCACACGCATCTTTAACAGTTAATACAGATAAAGATACGTCAAACAAAGTGCGCTTGCAAAATGATCTTGATAGTTTAGTTTACTGGGCTGATACGTGGAGGGTGCGTTCTAATGCTGACTAGTGTGTTGTACTTCACCTCGACAAGTAAAATGAAATGAACTGCAAAATTACAGTATGAGAAGACATAGTTGCTGTGTGAGGGTAAAAATTGCAAAGTCCGAACCTAGAGTTTGGAAACGCTATTGCAAAAAGCGCTGGAAACGCGCAGAAATACAAAAATTTTAAGTTCAAATACGTACATTAAGGATTGTTCCGGGCTTAAAAGACAAGTATTGTGAAGAAAGATTAGAGATTAAGAAGCTTCCAAGTATTTGTTATCGACGTCTGCATGGCGACCTAATCGAAGTATGCAAGTATACTCATGGTTAAAACATCAGTCCCAGAAAGATAATGTGTGTTCTGACTCTAAATGCCTAGCACCATACGAACCTGGTAGAAGTCTAGTAGCTATTGCAAACTAAAGTCAATTTTGAAAAGATCTCGTCAAAGGACCAGTTTTTAGATCTTCTGTGAACAAGTCACGATAAGTACAAGAATCGGCGGCAGGCCACACCATGGGCCTATTCTTCAGCGCCGACAACACTATGAAACGATATGATACGATGACATACAATGGACGGATTGTAGATTAGTAAGGAATTTCCAGCTCATGAGACTTGTGGTATTTGCAATTTTCTCCTTCAGTTATAGACGGCATGAAAAGCCAACCACACATAAATCGCATTATCATGAGGAAATTAAGCATTGAGCAGCGTTTATCGTTGAGTTTGGAAGTAATTCGTAACATATTTGTCAAAGCTTGTGGGCTATTAATTGAGTTCGAAACCTGGCACCGCTTGATCGTCTCGAAACTAAGTTAGCAAGGAATGCGGTTTGTTCTCTCACATTTTGGATTAAAATAAAGAAACCAAATAGAAAAATTATGACTGTTGGCCGGACACAAAAATCGTGTTCCATGGTTCAAGTACTTATAGCGTTCTTCTATCATTTTTTCTTCGTAAGGCTGCCGGTTCGTGATGTACTGGAACACGTGGATGTCAGGCAGCGACATTAGCTCTGTGACCGAGCCCTTCTACGAGGCTTTCGACCGCTGCTCCAACCTCAACTGCACGTCGATTTGTACCGCTTGGGGTAAGTCAAGCTTCACGAGTGCGTTCATTGTTGTTGCCAGGCCCTAAATGGTCAGATAAAATCTATCATGCCTAACTTGCCGCTGTATTGCCTAACTCCTTCCTTCCTACACAAGTTGGCGTTCAGTTCGAATTTCTACGATATTTATTTTTATGGAGAAGTAATTTATTGCTTATTAATCAGATTTGCCACATATATTATCGTGTAAACACAACAATGGTGAATGATATTATTGATAATACAAAATCCTCAGGAACTAATGATACCAGTGACAAGTTTAAACTTATGAACCTACAAGCTTAAGGTGAACAGCTTTAGAAATGCTAATCTAGTCGAAAGTAAAAACTTTAATATCAACAAAAAAAACTATATTATTCATTTTAAGTAATAAATCAAGTTGAATTGATATAAATATATACTTATATAGTTTTGGTAGTCATTCTTTGTCAAAAGTTTTTGAAATTTCGAAAATCAGCCCCACCTGACCATGGAAAATATTGATGAACTTCGACATGTCAATTGGTTCACATTAAAAAAAGCTGCAAATTACGTTCCAAATCTAAGAACTAGCCGAATTAGGAACCTTCAGATCGAGGGAGGTGGTGTAAATGTAAAATCTCCATATTCAGGTCACTGCGCTGGATTATCTATGTTAGCCAGTGATTTGAAAATAGAGTCGTTGGTAGAACTTGAAAGGGGAGCGTCTACAGAAATTAATTTCAATAGTTTATTTCTTATTAATACTTTTTGTGTAAAATAAAGTCAAACTTACTCAGAAATCAAGTAAGAAAAGAAAATGTACAAGTTTAATACCCTGTAGATGTAAATCAACGGAAAATTTGTAGATCTTCTTGATACCGACTGGTGCAGTACATTGCCAATATATGTAACATCGAATGCACAAAATATTGGCATTTAATTAATTTTCATTTACCAACGAAAATTATCTAGATATGTTTATAAAAGCATCAGAACCATTTTTTAATTATATTACAGCACCAATTTAACAAACTTGAATTAAACATATTTTGTTAAAACAGCATTCGTAAGAAAAACAAAATGCTATAATATAACATATATTAATACTATAATGAAATCTTTTTGAACATTAAGAAAACTTGGTTTGAGAAATGTTGAACTTGGCTCATTAATACATTATCTTAGGGTGGATCGTTTTTTCAACTTATGAAGTTCGCATTCACAATAGTGCGGAGAAGTTGTGGATGTGCGAAAAAATGATATGTGCAAAATTTTAGACCGCTAGACTCACTCTTTCATGATTCGAAGGTCGTTTGAAATTATAAAACATACGAAAAAATAATAAGCATATGCAATTTTCAATTCTTTTATACAATTAATTATTAAATAATAATTTTTAATTATGTGTAATTATTTTATGAAATTATTTTTTCATTTCACGGATGTTGATGATGCCTCCTGTTTAAACAAATACTTGAGTATTAAAAGAGTATTAGTCATTTTTGGAGTGACTCTCCAAAAATATATAATCATAATAATAGTAAAAACACATGAAGGTGATAATATAGAACTCTATAAATCGGAACATGTACAATAGAGATAATATAATGATTGTTTTTACCTTGCGACTCTCAAATAACTAAAATCATTATTTCGGGCAAAATGTTAAAATATAGACATATTCTCTACCCTCACATTTTTTTAAATTTTCTTATCATTTCCTTATCATTTTCTATTAATGAAGATGATGAGGTAGAGCTTTGAAACTTGAACTATATGTTCTAAAGACGTTTTTATGATGATTTTTGCCCACTGTGACCTTTAAAAATCAAAGCTACATTTTTAAGAAATTTTTCATTAATACGCTATTTTTTCATATTTTCGACAATTTCAAACGACCCTGAATCATGAAATAATTAACTTAAGGGTCTAATTACTTCCTTGACTCACTGAAACAATTTTCCTTCTTAAACTAGTCCCTAGTTTAAGGAGGAAAAATACCTAGTCCATAAATACAGGCAGATTTCATTTCCAGACATACACGTGAAGCTTTAGACAAAATAATCAACAATAGATTATTATACAAACACCTCACTATTCAAAACACCCACAGTGCAAGACTACATGGTTTTAGGAAACACAGAGGGTCACGTACAGTCGTACAGCACCAGCTACATTCCCGAAACACTCGTCATACTCTCAGCACAAAAACATGGGGTAACATGGGGCAGCGAGCCCACTGCGGGTTTCTAGCTAAGTATGGCAGATATTGGTCCGTGTTCTCTACCGCCGGTCGACAGTTTCACTGGGATGAAGTGTACGGATTTACGTTTTGCCAAGTGTTTGCGTTATTAGGTTATTTGTGAATAACTGTTTTAGCCCAGATAAACATTTTTTTTGCTGCTAAATAAAACTGTTTTCGATTACTGTAGATGAAGCTTTTGAAATTACTGTGAAATATATTTTGAAAGTAATATTTATAAGGATAATTTTGAGATCAAGTTTAGACTATTAGATTTTAAAATAAAATGTTGATACGATATAAATTTAAATGAATACCTAGTGGGGTAACGGGCCCACGCGTGTCACGGGGCAAGCGCCCATGGTGAAGTCTTGTGTTATACATCATTAGATTTGTCTCAATGACCTTTTCAAACTATGACTAGCTTTTTGAATTGCAAATTACACTTCATATTAAATTACACTTCGAGTTATTACAAATTACACTTCATATTAAATTACACTTCGAGTTATTGACTCTTGCTTTGCCAAAAGTTGATTTCAGTCAACACCAATGAGCCAAAAGTTTATGAGTTTTTATGGTGTTGGCTAAAATCACGATTATGTGCGAATTCTCTGCACATAATATCTGGATTATGGACGAAACTAGATCGAAGTTTTTTTTTTCTGATCAACTAAATATATTTTTTCTAGTCAAGGATACATTTTTTCATGTCAAGGGCGAATTTTTTATCGCAAGAACTTATTTTTCAAGTCAAGGATATATATTTTTATGTCAATGAAATATTTTTCTTCACGTCAGTGAAGAAAAGCCAAGAGTAGAAGCCAACCGTATATTTTTTTAAGTTGAGGATATGATTTCTTGAGTTGTTAATAAATGAATGAATATCATATTTTTTATTACATTTTTCTTATTTTTAACTGTAAAGTGTTGTTTTATCATTTTTAAACGAAAAACATGCAATTGTGGTAGAGGGACCAAGGGTGGGCGCCTTGCCTCAAGCCCATGGGCCCATTGCCCCAGAATTGGGGCAATGGGTACATTTTGACTTTTTTTTTACAAAATAGTGTTTCATTAAAAATTGAATAACTCTATAGGCGTCAAATTCACATCATACATTCTCATTAGTTGAACCTTTAAACAAAACAAAAAACCATCTCGTATCAATTAAAAATTCATAAAAAATGTAGTTTAAAAAAAAGGGGGGGGGCGCGCTCAGTAGACTCCTGCGTCTCGAAATAATTTTCTCGAAATGAACCGGGACAGACGAAACGAGACGAGAAAATTCCGGGAAAAAAATAACGGGACAGGGGGTAAAATTTGTCCCGGAATAAACGTATGAACCGAGACAAGACTTCTGTCCCGGACTTTAAAACTTGTGTCCCGGTAAATTATGAACCGGGACGAGACAGACTGATTTGAAACGAGACATAACGAGACGAGACGAGATTTGTCTTAATTATTTAAGACAAAACAAGTTTTTCTATTACGATACGAATCATTTCGAAAACATGGGTTAAAGAATGACAAGTTAGCCTTTTATTGCTAATAGGGCCATAGACAGTTACAAGTTAAATTGAGTTAATTGCAGATTTAGCAAAATTTGTCTGACTAACTGACATGGCAGTTAATTAGTGGTCCGACAAACACCGCAAACCTGTCGATGTATGCATGGCTGGTAAAGCCAACGTACTTAATCATTTTTTCATTAGCGTATTCACTGAAGAGGACTTGAACAGTATTCCAGCTATTGAGGAGCGCCCAGTCGGCTCTAAATTAACAAGCTTTGAAATACAAGAAGAGGAGGTTCTCAAGCGCCTTATCGCTGTAAATCCAAACTAGTCATGTGGACCAAACGGCTTCCACCCCAGATTACTCAAAGAGTTAGCAACTGTCCTAGCCGGCCCTTTGACGTTACTTTTTAAGTCACCGACATGTGGAACAGCCTCCCTGATAGCAACGTTGACGCTCCGAGTATGAACATCTTCAAAAACAGACTAGACGAAGCCATGCAGGAGCATATGTTCAGTCTTAAAGTGCCCAGCAAGTTACGGACCCAGAGGCAATAAGTCCAGCAGCTATCTCAATCAATCATTCCAAAGGCCGGATCCCCTGTGAATCAAGTCACGAAAAGTTCAAGAATCGGCAACAGGACATGGGCCTATTTCTTCAACGCCGACGCTTCTATTCTATTCTATGGCTGAGTATTGAGTCAAAAATGTTACTCTTTTAAGTCTTAACTAAGGCTTCGATGGCACTCACGGGAATCGTACGAATGTGAGTCGAGTTTATTAGGGAGCGCAGCCCTGGGTAACAAAATTGACTCGTAAACAGGCCCTGGGCCCAACGCCATCCATCAGCATGCAATAACTACACATAGCCTCAGATCAATGAGCTGTGGGTAACTCCGGCTAACAGTAAATCCGCTTTGCACAACACAGCCACTGCTTCACAGCGCCGGAGCGCAACAGTCCCTACCTCAACAGGCGGCGCAGGTTAGGTTAGGTTAGGTTACGTTAGGAGTAGCTGTTGCGGTAGGGCCTGTTGCGCTCCGGCCAGTTGTGCTCCGGCCTATATGCGCTTCGGCCTGTGACTGAACGGCGCTGTTGTGGTGGGCGCTTTGTGTCGAAAGCCGTGAAGATGCCCGGCTGCGTTACGCTCGGGAAGGTATATGAATCGCACTGTGGACTTGGGCTATGCTGACCTCTAGCTATCCACCCCATAGGGAGTAGGGACGCAGTGTCTAGATTAGTCGGCCAATTAATAGACAGTGGAGTGGAGTCCTGGTAGGATATTCCTAATAATACTAATAAAGCTAGTATTAGATTATCTCTGCCTTTAGTAAAATTTTGTGCTACGCCTCCAGGAAATCTTCACAATTGCGCAGTTTCCTGAATTGTTTTCAAACACTTGGGCTTGTTTAACGTTATTTAGATAGGATACACATGGATATTTCGAGTTCTTATTTGAAGATCAAACTATTATATTTTTTCCAACTCAAATTTTGTTGTCATTTAAAATGTTGTTGATATTTCTTTCCAAAATTTTTTGTTGAAGGAGATTGCTTAAGGCAAGATCGATGAATCTGATTCTGTGATTGAGCTGGAGGCAAATCAAAGTCTGTCCAGTCAGCCAATGTCACCAGCTACAGCTAGTATGGCCTCCTCCAAACCATCATAGAACACAATTTTTGAAAAAAACGTGTTTTTCAGTTTTTATTTGCCTGTTATGATTAAGTACCATATTAAACCACATGTATTCGTAGCAAAAATCATTTCAATTGCCGAGCTCCAATCAGACTAGTAAAAAGATACGTATCAAGTTATTATATAAATGCAGAGGTGGGCAGTAGCGCGCTACATGTAGCGGCCGCTACATTTTCAGTAGCGGTAGCGGTAGCAGCGCTACATTTTCAGTAGCGGTAGCGGCGCTACATTTAAGCAATTGTAGCGGTAGCGCCCGCTACACATTTAAGTAGCGATATGAGGTTTTGCCGCTACAGCGCTACCGCTACATTTATAGATAAAGCCTTTAGATTTTACCTAATTGTATTTAAAAACCAGCATGATACATACATAATATAAATTACAGAATAAAACTGTTTGAAATATTTCGGTGTAATGTTGTCAACCTCAGCTTGTTACTATATAGTGTCAACATGTTTGTTGTTACCAGAGGTGGGCAGTAGCGCGCTACATGTAGCGGCCGCTACATTTTCGGTAGCGGTGCGACATTTAAACCATTGTAGCGGTAGCGGTAGTGCCCGCTACATTTAGAGCATGTAGCGGCCGCTACATTTCAAAGTAGCCCTGCCCAGCTCTGTATAAATGTATGACGGTAAGCCAAAGTTTACACCACATCAATAATTGATTAGTCTCGTTATGTCTCGTTAAAATGGCTATAAATTCCGGGAAATTTTAAGGTACCTATTTTAACCGGGATGTCTCGTCTCGTCTCGGTATCGTCCCGGAATTCCTACGGAGGACTGAAAATTGTCCCGGTTTTTAATACGAACCGGGACAGAGCCTGTTGTCTCGTCTCGTCTCGTCTCGGATAAAAAAAATACCAAACGCAGGAGTCTAGCGCGCTGCCCCATGTTGCCCTACCATTGACATAGTGGGCCGCGAAGTGACCACGGCCTTCGACAAGGTTGGGCGCACCAGACTACAATATAAATTCATACAACTCAACCTCACCCGTTCTTTACAAAAACACTTTCAGATTACCTTGTAGACAAAACAGCATCTATCAAAATAGGTTCTTCTTCTTGTCTAACGATATAGCAGATGAATGATGAAAGTTCAAGGGTATAATCTTAATTATTAAATGTAGGTGTACAGTAGGCACGATTTATTACAGCAGCAATGAAGGTAAGTTACACGACACGCTCGAAAGTGAATCTAGCTCGTGTCGGAGAGTAGGAATGAGCGTTGAAGTTAGGGAGGTCTCTCTCTACAACTGCCTTCGTGGTGAGCAAGAATAGCTTAAATAGAGTGCACCGTACTGACGGCATAAGTGACGTAAGAAAGGCTAATGACGTCACGGATGTTAACGTTCTGACAATCTCTACAGCTTCTACACCCACGACCTCCCACCACTATTACACGATACAAACTGCGTAGCTTTTGCAGATAGTATAACACAAATAATTTATCAGTGGACATTACCCACACAACCACGCAGCAGTACAAAGACAACACGCCGTACAACAGATAAACGCCTTCGAAAACAAGTGGCTCATTAGGACGAACGCAAATAAATTTAAAATCATCCCCATCATTTGAAAAACACCGATATTTTCATATATAGTACCCACTATATAAACAGGAACAAGAGAACAGTATTTAGGATTACATTTCACCACCTACGGCTACAGCTCATGAATCACAAAACGAAAAACAATGGCCTTACAAATCTACGCACGGTACACAGATTTTCCACCTCCCACTCAACAGAAAACGCACTTTAAATTTCGTCTTTGTTAGATCATAATTAATTTACCTCCCAAAACCGTCACACACCCAATCAAAATCATTCACATCTAACCTGCAGACAGTCTACAACAAAGCCCTTCGCTTCATTACAAACACGCTGGTCTGACTTCATATACTCCCCAACACTACACGAACTATGCGATATTCCCACAAAAGCACAATCTTTCGCAGTCAAACCTTCAACTTCACCTCTTCAATCATGTAGCATTCCGCCCAGACGCAATAACAAGGCAACATCAGCTATTTATAAGCTTCAATATATACGCATTAGGTCCCCCGCCCCAACAATGTACACACAACCACACCCCAACCAATAACACTGTAACTGTAGGTTAGTTGATGTAGGCTTCCGGATGCAAATATCCAACAACCACTTATCCACACACCACCTACACAAAGGGTAGTCTGAGATTGGTCGTCACCTGTAATCCAACACGCTCATGTGCAGTCACTCATATATTCAACTCTCATTCTATCTGTCAGGAGAGGCAATATTAAGCGCTACCTGACTAATAATATATGTTGAACCTGGACAGGGATTTGTTGACTAAGTGAGTGAGGGATATGTAAAGACACTTTTCTCCACAGAACTTATTATGATACGAGGTGATTATAAGTAACAAATTAATTACAGAGGTAGAGAAAAGTAGACCACTACGACCATCAGGTCGAGGTAATTCTAACAAAGTGCTAACTACTTGGGGGGGAGGTGGAGGGCTTATTAAGGTGCTCAGTACTTTTATAGACTCACTACTTCCGCCCACAGTGCGGTCTTGCTCTGCACGTGATCATGTCTAGATAATGATTTAGTGTCTAGAACTTTTCCGCGTCTAGTGAGTACTGCGTCTGGAATACAGATGATCTGATCTTATAATATAATTATAATGAATAGAACGAGACGCCTGATCGATACCGGAAACATTAGAACGACACAAACGGAGAGAAAAAATCCATCGAGAGTAAAGACGAGACCGAAGAACTACAGACAACCCAGCAATTCTCAACAAAACTTATGCTCTGAGTCTCGAGCAACTTACCACCCACATAATCACCATTATTATTGTTATCAACATCATCATCACCAGCATCATCGCCCTCGTCGCCATCATATCATCTTAAAAAAACAATGAAACACAGAGCGGAAAAACGAAACGCTTCAAACAAAGAGTACGTATTATTTATATTGTTTCTTAACAGTACTCAAACTTATTAATAATGTATTATAATGAACCATTTCCCTCCCATCACTCCGTTAAACTTTCCAAAGCCCTGACGGCTTATCTCTTCCCCTCTCCAACCCCAGTCAAACCCCTAACACCTATGTAACAAACCTAATTATACGCTATTTTCCCCTGTCTGTCTCCTACTGTCGTTTAAATTTCCCCTCCCTCTTCCTGGCCACTCTGTTCCACCTCTTGCTCTTTTCCATAATTTCCTAGTGGCACCGAAGCAGCAGTTGCAGATCGTCATGTTGTAGATTGTATACAAAAATATTGAATATTGAATATAATTTCAATAGAAGATGAAATGAGAAAGGATTGACTGGAAAATGAGAAAGGATTGACTACCAGAAACTTGGAACAAAATTTATTCAAGTTCGCAGGAAAGATTCACGGCTGGCTTGTTTATCCATGGCTGGCCACAACATCACATCTGCAGGTAGACAAAACCAAAGTTGAAAAAAATCGGTTGAATAAAGTAGATAGCACAATAAATCACAGTGATCAACAAAAGTCGGTGGAATTCACAAAGTATTAACGGTCCAGTCCCAAAGGATCATCCAGTTTTTGAGAAATTGGCTGGGAGCGAGGTAAGCTAGGCTCTGGCCAAGAATCAGGCCTCACCTCTGAAGTCTCCGTAGCTTCAAGGAGTGTAGCTTCTAGGAGTGTAGCGCCACCGTGACCACAGCTGCCGAGCAGGAGAACTTCCGAGCTCCAGGTAGGGGAACCACGCTCTCGTCGAACCACCACAACGCCAGATCAAGAGGAGAGCAGGACCACGGCCGAGGTAAGATGCTGCAGGTATGCCTTCCAAAAAAACTGCTAGGCAAACACAGGTGAAGCGGGAGCTCCGTGCGGTTAGGCTTTTTTTGTACTGATTGATCGATACGAAGCATTTACTAATAATTTAAATCAGTTAATCGAGGTAAAATTATTGACCATGCGTCTGACTCCATGTTGTATTCCAGGTACAGGAATGCCAGGGCTACTCTTCAAGAACTCAGCCCCGTTTTTGGGAACTGCGACTACTGTGACGCCCAACTACGTCTGCTGGTTTCCGGAGTGTGCTTGAACCATGTAGCATCGATATTGCCTGTGGTAGTTCGGAGGTACCTGAACCCTCGGTACTGGCTGTGGTACCTCGCGTATGCCTGAGCCACGTACAGTCGATTGTGGCTGTGGCTCCTTCAGGTGTACCTCAGCTATGTACCCTCCATTCTACTCATGGTACCTCTCGCGCGTATACCTGAGGCAAATACTGTCGGTGTTACCGGTGGCTCCTTGCCCGCAAAGCTGAGTTCGCCCACATCGTTTCTGTTGTTGTCGTTGCTCCATGGGTAACATATTTATTTATTCAAACTAATGAGCAAGTCCTGAACAAGTCTCCTATTTCTACAAAGGCGAAATGATTCTTTTAATAAAATGTTGCCCGTATCAGAAATAAATTCCCGTGAGGAGAAATAGAATATCAATAGCGTTGCTCTGCCAGAGAAAAACGCTTATAGTTAACATGTTATCTGTAAAACAAAAACGGCGCTGCCTATTTAATGGAAAGCTCTTTCAGGCAACGCTACTTCAAACCAAGTTCGAACCTTTGCACGTGACAAAGTTTGTATTAGACTAACTTGACAAGTTCAGTCTTAACTTGATTTTATAAAGAGTTCACGCCTTCCACCAAGTCCATTCTACCGACCACACCTCAGTTTCTTAACCCTTAAATTAAAACTGAATCACCGTAGTATAACATTTCAAGTTTCACCACCTCTCTATATATTAATCTTCATAAGATAACTGATCACCGTCCTATAACCTTTTAAAGGCAAATGCCTCACCATATTTTAACCTCGCTTATATCACTGCGCAACCGTATTATTACCAATTTAAGGTAATCGCATCACCAAATACGTAATAGTGATGCGAACCTTTTTTGAATTAAAAGGATAAGCGCATTATGACATTTTTGTTCAAAGAACAACTCTATATAACCATCACCTTCTTAAGAAACCCCATCACGGTTTTATTGCCTCTTGTGCGCAAAAATCTTATTACAATATTATACCAATTAATAAAAATCACATTACAGTATTATAGCCTTTACTAAATAATTATATCAGCGTATTTTAACTTTTATTAGATAAAGAATCGCACCGCCATATTATGAGCTGCATTATTCAACCACATTATATTATTAAGATTCAATTAGGTAATCGCGTAACCGTATTGGAACCGTTAAATGGTAATCGCATCACCGTATCAGCCAACGTTTCATCACCACGGCAAAGACAATTTTAAAGCGCACTCAATTGACCTAGACCAGCGGTTCCAAAACTTATGCAGGCTGGCGCCCCCTTGGCTCCCCAGTGAATTCCTAGCGCCTCCCCCCTACAGACACAAACGGAAACAAATACCTCTTTCTTGATACTTGGTATGCTGCAATTTGAAAAGAGAAAGGTTAATCACAAGTGTGTATTTCACAAATAAAACCCAATTTAGTGAGGGGGTGTACTTTAGGGTGTTACTTACGTAATATATATTTTTTAGCAATTTTAACTGTTTCAGCACTAGAAGCCCAGTAACTGGATTATCAAAATATAGCTACGTAGCGACTTAATTGTGGCGTAAGTGCAGCTATGAAGACCCAACTCTAGAAAGGTTAAAAAACCCAGATCTGGTTGCGCCCCAATTTCAGAGCGCGTCCATTCCACCCAATCACTCACCCAATCGATCATAACAATCCCATCGCTTTTGCGGGTGTCACGGTCAATTCTAAAGGCCGGTCCAGACGCTGCGTTTTCACCACCTTTTGTCTGCACATTTCAGCACGTTGCAGATAAAACGTTGCATGTGGACTGGAAATCTGCAGAGTTTTGAGTCCTTCGGGAAGCCGGCACAGTTGAGGCGATATCTGAGGTAGAGAGCATAGATTTCTTTCAACTGTGCGGACAATTCGGTGGACGATAGCACGGTTTCCCAATTCATTCAGCAGAGGTTTTGGAAGTATTTCTCCGAAATTATTGCATTGTATGAAAGTTTCTCCTGCGTTTGGCGTGTCAAATCCAAAGATTACAGTGACAGGAATAAAGAAGGGGAGGCCTATTAGAGTTCAGTGGACAAATTGCTGCAACCGCTAAGAGAGAAATAGTTGTAGAAAAATCAATTCTTTGAGGAGTGTTTGCCGTAAAGTGGTGATAGTGCGGTTCTCATACAAGTATTTTCTTTGATGATATGCAGTGACACTAATTCAAATGAATAAAAATATGTATTTATATCCATTCTCAATTAGTTCCGCCGATCAATAGTGTCAATAAACCTACTCCATGACGATATAATGCAAAACTTAGCTAAATATACAAATATCTCTGCACCGCGTGGACGCTCTAAAGATTGCTACCTTCTCACTCCGTCTCAAGACTGCGCAGATCAAAACGTATGCGTCTGGACCGACGTTAAAGCGCACCAATTCGATCTTGACGAACACGTACGCTGCTTCGGTAGGGGTCGCACCCTCGTTTTTAAACGCACTCAATCGCTATTGACCATCGAGTGTCCTTAGTTGGCATACTTATTTTGTGGGCCCCCATTGACCATTAATTGATGATCAATGATGGCCAACTTATGAATAGCCAATTAATAGGCTTCTCTTAATTAAGTATCGTGCCCTAATATATTGAAGCGCGCCCCAACATACTAGTAAATAAAAACTATTTGAACTATCTTCAATGAAAATTATGCTGCCGTGAAAATTTTAATAGTTCTATGCATTTCAACCAATTAAATTGAGCAAACATTAAACATCCGATTGAAAACGGGAGTTTTCTGGGCTGTCAGGGTATTTATTGAATGGTTTTCATTTACATAGCGATATATTGGGGTATTTTATTCTTAATATAGCATGTATTTTGGAATAGTTATAAGCCGTAGATTCGACAGTCGGCAACAGAAGCATACATATAGCCTGCATTTAATATGTCCGGTAAATAAAATTACCTTTCTCGCTAAATGTGATTGTTCAATGTGACCGCCTGCTACGATCTTTAGCGCCGATGAAACGCCTTGAATTTTTATTAGGTTTAATGCTATCTTCATTTTGGAACTGCATCACATTATTGCAGAAGAGTGTTACACTAAACGGGACTTTTATTTATTATCCTATCATTGCCTTCAACTCTTAAATTCCTGTCCATCACGATCACCATACTGACGTTAGAGAGCCAATCGGTTTTCGGTATCTACAAAATCAGATGATTATTATAAGATGGCAGAATTTTCTTGTTTATATGCGTAAAATTAATGACCAGAGAATGTAGTTTCAAGGAGTCCGAAAAAATTTAAAGAATTGTTTGACTCCTTGAAAATCAGATAAATGAATGTAAATTTATTTAATTATGGTTAATGAGATGGCAGTGGCCAAGCATTTTCGCAGTAGAATTCTTCTACTTATAAACTTTTGACAGCAGATTGAAATAACGATCGAAGATAACATCAATATCGACCTTATGTTCGATCAGACATTGATGCAACTGATTACTTTTTAATTATTAGATGTATATAAATTTTGTCAGGATATAACAGCGGTGTGTGATGTGTACAGTATATGCTGGCTCGAAACCAAAAATTTACGAATTTCAAAATGTTTGACCTCAGGAAAGCTGCTTCTCTGCATGAAAACAAGGTGTACAAAATTTCAGGACGATAAGGAAACATCGATCTAAATTTTAAGATATTGATTTATTTTAATTAATTATAAATTTTATTTAATTAATCATACAAAAAAGTCGATTTATTATTTAGTTTGAGATTTTAACTTATTCAGATCTCATCAAGCAGCTATAAATCAAAGATCACTTTGATATATGGATGTTAACAGGTTGAACATCCCAATAAACTGAAAAAATCTTCTTACGTTTCTTACGTGAATTACAATACAAACTGCATTTGATATAAAATTAATACATCAGATACTGTTATTACCTCTCGATTTCATTTCAATTCATAACAATGAACATTAATGGAATAACACATATAATAATATGACATCATAAGAAACGAAAAAAGCACTAAATTTCTTGTTTAAGGGAATATTGAACCGGGTTGAAACATGATTTGAAAGAGCACCAAACATTTGAAAGAGCACCAAACGACGGGTGGGCTAGGCACTGTCAGCGAGTTTCAGCTGTTAAAGTTCAGCTGCCGCATTTAATAAAGTTACTTCAACGAGCAAGGCAGATGAATATACACTTTTCAATCGAATGTGTGACTTGATCGAGTGACAAACGGTTACACATACAAGAAGATCTAATTAAGTGAAGTATTTATGCATGGTATATACGAAAAAAATAGTGGTGGCAAAAACCATCTGCAAATGAATCAGGACCAGCTGAACTAGAGATCCAAGTGAAGCTTGGATGATCCCAATTAGGGTTTCAGAGTTAGTCTAGCGCTAGCCAATGGGTCCACCGCCGCTCGGACGCAACCGAACCTTGCCAAGGGAAGCGACTGAAACGCGATAGACTCTTAGACATATACTTAAGGGGGGGGGGGGGTCTAGCCTACAAGTCGTAAATTTGGCATTTTCAGGTTTTATACTAATCTTAAAGCTTACATTCTGCCCTATCCAACGGTACCATTACCATCTCTGTACGTTGATTTATGCGTTCAGGACAGATCATGAAAGGGGGGAGGGTGGGGGAGTTCTTTAACAAATTAGATAGGAGGTAATTCGGTTCCCAGCACTTTAAATACAGTGTCTGCTTGAGGTGCACCTTAGTTACTTGTTTTGTCTCATCTTAAAGCTGACATTCTGCTCTATCCAACGGTACACTTACCATCTCTGTACGTTTATTTATGCGTTCAGGACAGATCATGAAAGGGGGGAGGGTGGGGGAGTTCTTTAACAAAATAGATAGGATTTAATTCGGTTCATAGTACTTTAAATACTGTGCCTGCTTGAGGAACAGCTTAGTAATCCGCCTGGCTTCGCAAGAGGAGGTGTGCATGCAGTCGCTCTCACCATCCTTAGTGGAATCGAGCTCCAATAACGTTTAGTTTCGTATCCTTGCTACATTGAGTGCCCATTGCAATGCGCGCGGGACTTTGTCGGGCTGTACTGAACATTCACACTTATTGTCACGGCAAACCTATCTCCTCCTAGAGTTTTAAAGTTACAGCTATGAGACATACACCATTCGATTTGTATAGACCATACCTATCGAGTAACGAAGCCATTTTAGCACATTTTCTCATTTATGGAAAAAATGCACTATTAATTGTGCTGTTGTTGTTGTTGACCCTCCCCGCCTCGCTTCACGGCGCGAGGCGGGGCCTAGACCCAATTCTGGGGCCAGCCAAGTCGGCCGCCCCAGCGGGCCAGCAGCCCTGCAGCGTTTACGGGGTCCGCCCAAAGGTCACCCACCGACAGGGATGTGGGCATTTCAGGGCAGGAGAAAAGATGAATGGTGTCGTGCGTGTTGGATAGACAGAGTGGGCAAAGTGGAGAAGGGTGTGAGGCAGGGTCTATTTTATTTAGGTGTGAGAGAAGTAGCTGTTTTAGTAGGTATGAGAGAAGAGCTCCTGTCCCCCCCCCTTCTACAGGAGCTGTACCTGTCGTCGACGCGCCCCGTGAGCGCCCTGGAGATGCGGCGCGATCTGCTGCAGTGGGAGCCTGCGCTGCAGCTCGCGCGTAAGCTCGCGCCTGCGCAGATACCTTACATCGCGCGCGAGTACGCCGCGCAGCTTGAGTTCACGTGAGTCTTGGTGGGAGATGGGAGCTGAAATACTAGCCATTAGATGATTATGCCCATATATTGAGATATTGATACAAAATCAATTAACTTTTAATGTTCCAACAACTCATTATTCACACGAGGTAAATTCAATATACGTGCACATCATTCAGTAATCCAACAATTTTAAAACAAAGAATAGTCCACAAATTGCTTTAAAATTTTTATTAAACTTTTACATTTTTAGTAAACTTGCAATTTAAGCTTACATGTGACATAAATTCTTTAATTTGTTCAGTAATAATTGAAGACATTAGATTAACAATACAATATATATCATACAATATTAAATACAATATATCACACAACAATACATGGCGGCAGAGGTGACCACCCGGGCGCCCTGACGCACTACGAGCGCGGTATCGTCAACTCCCCCGACGCGGAGGACCACAACGCCGCCTGTAAAGCGGGCATCGCACGCACGGCGCTCAGGTGTGGTGACTGTGGTCCTTTATAGTTTAGGACCACATTGTTTATGCATTGTTTATCCAAAGGCTGTTGCAGCGTGGATAATTGGTGTGTGATGGGTGGTTCGTCGGTGTAAAAGGTCTGTTCGTCATTGCAAATGTTCGTCGTTCAAAAAATTTTGTTACTCGTTCCGAAAGGTTGATTCATCTTTTCCAAAAGTTCGTCGTCTTAGAAAAGTGGTTCGTGGTTGCAGAAAGTTGGTTCGTTGGGTCAATGGTTGGTTCATAGTTAAAATTGGTTAATTAGTTGTTCCAAAATGTTCTTTCGTCGTTTCAAAATATTTGTTCGTCACTAGAGAAAGTTGGTCCCTCGTTACGAAAGGTTAATTCGTTATTCCTGAAGGGTTGTTCGTTGTCTCAAGTGATTAGTTCGTTTCTGCAAAAATGTGTTTCATCGTTCCAAAAAGTTGGTTCGTTTTTCCAAAATATTTCTTCCTCATTTCCAGAGGTTCTTTGTCGTTCCAATTCATTATTTATGTCATCCAAGGAAGGTTCAAGAGCGTACGTGGTTTCTGGTATTTTTCTGCAATTTTAGTGCAACGGAATTTAACAAACATTAAATTAAGGACACTCTGACGTAGGCATGAGTGTGTCAGAGGATACAAGATCAGAAAAGTTCTACGCCTTTTGAATGAGTTGGCAATAATTTATTTTTAAGTATCGATGTTTCAATTTGACAATGATATAACAATTATATATATGAATTAAGTGCAGAAAAAACACCATGGACGTTAGAATGAAAACAATTTAGAAGCTAATTTCCCGGCTGTTGACGGGAGAGGCGGAAGTTCTGTTTGAGCGAAATTCAGTAATGAAATGTCAAAAATATAAATTGTAAAGCTCTTCAGTATATAGTGTGAGATGTCAGTATATATTAAAAGGTGTCAGTAAATATTCACCACAGTATATATTCACAGTCAATATATGATCACCACAGCATATATTCACCACAGGTGTGGTGACATAAGGCGAGGCGTTAACATCGCAACGGAGCTCAACAGTAAAGCGCTGAAGCGAGAGTGTGCTGATATCTTAGAGTCCAAGAAGGTATTTGTACCTCCTGTTGTTTCCGGGCACATTGTATAGCGACTATTAACTACTGAATTCTTACTTAAACTAATTTTACTACGTTATTTGTCGATGTGTTTTTAATACGTTAAGTACGGCTAAAATTTTTCATGATGTGCATTTTCACTGCACTATTTTATAAAAAGGACATTTTCAGTGCACTATTTACAATTCGCTTATTACAGCATTTCACAGAATGAAATTGTTTATGCTTCACTTGTACTGAAAAGATAGTTCTTTTTCATTATACAATTAGATCCACGGTATTTTCTATCACTTCATACTACTGCATTTCAATGGCATAAGAACGGCTTATTTTTCATCGAACACTCAAAATTATATTTAAAATTCAATAAATCATAAAAACTCTTAAATATTCCGTTCTTCCATACCCAAATTCACCTATCAAATTTTTCAAATAATTCTACTGTAATTTGAAATAAATTTCTGAGTCTTTAAATCTTGCAGCAATATGTAGAGGCCGCAACGCTGTACGAGGCAGCAGGACAGTACGAGAAAGCAGCAAGTCTATACATCAAACTCAAGAATTGGAGCAAAGTTGGAGCCTTGCTACCCAACATTGCTGCTCCTAAGCTACATCTCCAGGTGACATTGCATGTTACGAACTCTTGCTAACTAACTTTTCAGCTTAGGATGAGTTAGGATGCATGAAAGTTAGTATCTTGAATTAATTTTCAAGTTCAATTGCAATTTCCACGATTTTTCAGCATTCAAATTACCAACAAAAATATAATTGGCTTAACAAGAGAGCCCCACAAGGCTTCCTTCATCCCAGGTTAGTTTGGGCTGTCACAAATTTATTAATTCTCTTGGTTCTTGTTTGGCGTCATTCGTCCAGTTTCAAAAACGTGAATCATTCTTCGTCAAGTGTCATCTGTTAGGCATCCAAAATAAATTAAAATATGAAGTTCATGGATAATGCATACTTCTGGGATGTAGAATTAATTAGTCACAGCACAAATTTTAATTACTACAGCAATTGACAATTCATAAGGCATCTTTTTTTTACTATTATAAGTTTCCCAATTAGAACCAATACACTTGATCAGAGGAGACAACTATATAGAAGAATGTTAGTATTATAGTTCTATGTTCTTTCATTTCATATACACAAAATTTGAACTATCTACATAACCTTAATACTTTTTTAAATTACGTAATGGCGAAAGAAAGTGGTTCACTTTTATTAGTGTTTAAAATAAAAATACATTAATTATACAAGCTTGACGTATTACACGTAACGTATTTTGAATAAGTATTATTTATCAAATTAATGCGCCTTATAAAAACGTATTAATTATCCAAACGTCCTATAAAAAAGTATTACTTGACAAATTAATACGCCTTATCAAAAAGTATTAATTATCCAATTAATTAAACAAACGTGACTTCTTATCGAATACACGTAACGTCCTATAAAAAATTATTATTTATCAAATTAATACGCCGCATCAAACCTGTTGTGAACGCAACATTTGCTTTAGAATAGTAGTTTAATTCCGTGGTCTTGCTGAACATTTTCGCTCATTAGTCACCTGTCGGCTGCGCAGTACAGACCAAACTTTATTCAGGAACGAATTTTGGTGAGCTTAGTTCTCTTGTTTGAATATTTCTTTGCCGTTTAGAAAGCATTGGTAATTTACTGTAATGTTTAATATTTGCGAATATTGTTTATATATTCAATGACCTTTTGCTTGTTTTAGTTTGAATTTTGTATTTGTTCTGGTTTCTTTCCAGAAACCGTGTCATCTGGGATTATGAAGAAAAAGAAAGTAACCTGATGCACGCGTATTCAATTAATCCTGCCTTAGATAAAAGTTGCGCTGAAAAGCACTAAATAGTCCGCAACAAAACCCTATTAATAATCTAATTAATTTAATTTAATAATTTTTTAAATAAAAAGATAATATATAATAATTATCTTTCTAATTTTTTAAATTATCGAAGTCTTTTACCATCAGTACGCGAAAGCCAAGGAAGCAGAAGGCAGCTACCGCGAAGCTGTGGCAGCGTACGAGTCTGCCCGCGACCCTGACAACGTCGTACGTCTGCTGCTGCATCAGCTCAACGCCCCTGAGGAGGCCGTAGCTGTCGTCAGGGCAAGCAAGAGCATCGAGGGCGCCAAGATGGTTGCAAAGTGAGATCAATTAGCAGCATTTCTGCTCATTATTTGGTATAATGCGTGAGATCAATTGGCAGCATTTCTGCTCATAGTTGGGTATAATGCATGAGCTCAATTAGCAGCATTTCTGCTCTTAATTGGGTATAATGCGTGAGCTCAATTAGCAGCATTTCTGCTCTTAATTGGGTATAATGCGTGAGCTCAATTAGCAGCATTTCTGCTCATAGTTGAGTATAATGCATGAGCTCAATTAGCAGCATTTCTGCTCATAGTTGAGTATAATGCATGAGCTCAATTAGCAGCATTTCTGCTCTTAGTTGGGTATAATGCGCGAGATCAATTAGCAGCATTTCTGCTCATAGTTGAGTATAATGCATGAGCTCAATTAGCAGCATTTCTGCTCTTAGTTGGGTATAATGCGCGAGATCAATTAGCAACATTTCTGCTCTTAGTTGGGTATAATGCGTGAGATCAATTAGCAGCATTTCTGCTCATAGTTGGGTATAATGCCTGACATCAATTATTATCATGTGATATTGTAAGCTTGAATATAATGCGTAAGATCAATTAGCATTGTGTGATATTGTTCGTTTGAATATAATTCGTGAGCTCAATTAGCAACATGTGCTAATTCGAAAAAATATAAAAAAACGTGAAAAAACGGTCACGTGGCGTTCTAGTGAAAATAAACCGTTTCGCCGTTTTTATCAGGTGTTGTGCGGGTTTATAGTGTTAAATTTGAATTAAAACGGCGACATGGTGTTTATTTTCACGTGACGGTCGGTCATTGAAATGCCGGTGATACCGTTTAACTTTAATTTTTCGAACAGTGTTGACGACCACGCAGAGGTATCTTATAGGTGTGTTCATTTGATCGTCGTGCTGAGGGGCCGTACTATCAAAAATAGTGTCCATCCTCCATCGGCAATTACCAAAGGCTGAATTTTCGACATATTTATTTCATACCCTTTAACCTTCAAAATATCTCTTATGAATCGAATTTTAGGTATTTAGGCTTTCGGGGCGACAGGCCGCCATAAGTGTTTCATGTTTAATTCGTCTTTCGCACCTGGTATAATTTTTCCTTTGGGCATCCATCAACACATTGATTTTTTTGTCTTGTACTTTTCACAACGCCATGAATTGGATTTTTTTTAATTCAGTGTGGAGCTTTTACCCCATGGGTAGTGTTACCCAAAAGTTTACCCAAAAGTGGTTCCCCCATAGGGGTAACCACTTTTATTCAATAAATAAATAATAAATAACGCCTGAATGAAATTAATACATGATATCACATTTGTGCAGGTTTTTCCAGCGTATGGACGACTACGAATCGGCGATCCAGTTCCTGGTGCTGTCCAAGTGTGCGGACGAAGCGTTCCAGCTGGCAAGAGCGCACGGCAAGATGGAGCTCTACGCGGACATCCTCGGCGACGACGCCAGCGTTTCTGACTACGCCAGCCTCGCCTTACACTTCGACAACGAGAAGAACCATTACCTGGCTGGCAAGTTCTACTACAAGGCTGGCCAATACGCCAAGGTTGGTTACTAGTTACCTATTTATTGCTACACGTATTTGTTTTCTCTGGAAGCCATTTAGAACAATCTTGTCCATACAATGAATCTCAAATTCTACTACAAGGCTGGCCAATACGCCAAGGTTGGTTACTACTTTCCCATTTATTGCTACACGTATTTGTTTTCTGTGGAAACCATTTAGAACAATCTTGTCCATACAATGAATCTCAAATTCTTTTAATTCTTACAATGTGGTTATTATAGGTTTCAAATATTTGTTAATTATTCCACTGTCGGCCAACTGTCCATCAAGCATCAAGTATCGATAAAAACGTCTCTTTAATAAACATATTTTCCGTCACTGTCCACCATCCGTCCATCAGAGCTTGAAGCAGCTGGAGAGGGCGGCGACGTCGTCCACCACAGGCTCGGAGGACGAGGCGGCCATGCAGTTGGCCATCGAGGTGGTGGCCGAGGCTGACGATGAAACGCTGACTCGTCAGCACATCGACTTCCTCATGGGGGAAGTCGACGGCATACCCAAGGTAGGGGATGTCATGTAATGATTAATGTAAAATAGCCTGTTATATTAGTCTGTTAAGTTGTTAAGTTCAACATTCGTATTAGGTTAAACTGGCGCAGTATGTTGACTTGAGGTGTCGGATTAACTCGATATATGAGTTAAAGGCCGACGGAGTTTAAGTTTAAGAGTTTACGAGCTTAATGAGTTTTAAGGCATTTCACCGTACCTGTGGTGAATATATACTAAGTGAGAATATATACTGACAATGAATGTCAGCATTTTGTAACTGCGCCAACGGCGCATCTAATGCAGCAAACCGCATGTAGGTGTTTGCTCTTTTTTTGCGTAAAAGAGTTTCAAAATTATATAAAATGAACATCTTTTAACAATATATACGCAGATTTAATTAAGAAAATGGTTTTTGCAGATTATTATTTACGTTAATCCAGCAGGTATTAAGCTTCTTTTGTAGCTGCGAAAAAAAAGAGCGTATAACGCAGCAAACCGCATGTATGTTCGTACTACAGTTTATGCGTGAGGCAGTTCCAAATTTATCTGTAATGAACATTTTTCAACGAAATGTACAAAGATTACTTTGAAAAACTGAAATTATAGATAATTATTCGCATTGATTTCCATGTGTTTGAACTCATTTTGAAGCTGCAAACTATGGAGGCGCGTTCAACTAGCAAATAGCATGGATTTGCATGCAATACTTTTCGCGTATGCCGTTTTAAACTTTTACAAAATGACTTCAATATGGATAAATATATTAGAAAAATAACATTTATAGCTTATTCGCGCAGATCTTGACAAGAATTAGTCTAAGGACGCATGATGGTATCAATACGGGTAATTGACAATGCTAAGGCTACATTATCAAGCAATTTTTTAGCATTTCCTTCTTTTTTAGGCAATTTTACTTATTTGGCTCCTCTGAACAATTAAAATTTTCAAATATGCCTTCTTAATATCTCCTCCAATGATTTTCAAGCTACAGAGTTAAGAGACATGTCATCCGATTCGTTAAGACCATATCTGACGACTCTAGGTGCTCTTTTTTCTGATGCGTACAAAACTGTACATGGTTTGGATTTTGTATTAAAAAACTAGGGATTGGGAATGGAAATAGTTATACAAAAAAAAATTAAACAAAAAATCGGGAAAAGGCTTCTAGTGTCGATTGATATTCACTTTATGAATTGAATGATAATGTCTATCGATGTTGTAGAAAAAAATCAAATAAAAATTAAAATAAAATAAAATGCACGTAAAAGTTCAAAGGAGCAAATTATTTTTCTTTTACTCTTTTACATACGTGTACGAAGTTCACAAAGATCCGCCAGTAAATAAAAATTATGCCTAGTCGTGTAACACTGTTGTTTTATATTGTGTCGGCAATGTCTCATACGAGCATCAGCTCATATATAGACGACTAATTGAGTCGACCCCAAAGATATATACAAAAAAACAACGCAACTCAGAGTTTTAAAAATGTTATCCAATTCTTGGTTTGTGATAAGCTCCACGACGCATCGCATTTCATGACATTAATCAGTGAGACATTTCACTAAGGTAAATTCGGGTATAGTTTTACCTCAACTGAATCAGATAGCTCTTCTCCGATTAACAATAATACTCAATCCAGTACCTATGCATCTTAGTTTGAAAATTAAACCTATTTTATCATACTTATCAGTTCAAGATTCAGCACCTGTATTTGTTTTTATTAGTGACTTTCATACTGCTCTAAACTTAATTTTACACTGTATATGATGCTCGTAAATTCACGGTACAAGACGCTTTCGAAGCCATGGTCTCCGAAAAACTGTTAGAGTCGGGCTCCGTGTTTGTCGCGCTCTGAAGTATGTAGTCCAGCGACTCGATGTATTCGATGACGTTGCGCAGAATTTTAACCTTTGTCATCTTCTGAGTCGGGTTACTGAATATCCTTTCCTTCGAAATTTCAAATGCGTCGTTTACATGCGGAGGGAAGAGTGAATATATTTCAACTAATTCAGGTTTTTCCAGTGAATGTGTTACATATAATAATATAATAATAATAATATTATTATTAATTAATTATTATATTAATTATATTATTATTATTTTAAATAATATAATAAACTTTAATTTCTATTTCATTTGAAAATTTAAGTATTTCATATGCCACACGTTTGACATGCCTCAAGGTCTATTATAAATATATGTATATTTTTCGTTACTATAGCTTGCCAATGATTCATTAGTTTATTCTTAAAATCCTGCGTGAAATCCTGAGCTGCATGATTTCAAAAATAAACTGTAATAATGCGTACTTCACGCTTACCGCGTGCAGGAGGCCAAGTATTTGTTCTGACTGGACCGAACCTCAACGGTTCACTAAGGCAAATAATGATATGTCTCATGCTTAATGCGTGCAGGAGGCCAAGTATTTGTTCTGACTGTACCGAGCCTCAACGGTTCACTAAGGCAACTAATGATGTGTCTCATGCTTACCACGTGCAGGAGGCCAAGTATTGTTCTGACTGTACCGAACCTCAACGGTTCACTAAGGCAAATAATGATATGTCTCATGCTTAATGCGTGCAGGAGGCCAAGTATTTGTTCTGACTGTACCGAACCTCAACGGTTCACTAAGGCAAATAATGATATGTCTCGTGCTTACCACGTGCAGGAGGCCAAGTATTTGTTCCGACTGTACATGTCGCGCAAGAAGTACCGCGAGGCAGCGCGTACAGCTGTCGTGATAGCGCGCGAGGAGCAGAACGCCGGTGAGCAAACGGGAGAGACTTGGTGGTGGCACTGGGGGATGATGTGGTTGAGTGTGTGATGTAGTGTAGTCTGCATGATACGGTGTTGGCAGGGTGGTACGGTGTTGGCAGGGTGCATGGATACGGTGTAGTCTGTGTGATACGATACAGTCCGTATGTCATACGGTGTATAGTCGGTCTGATGCGGTGTTGGCAGGTTGGTATGGTGTAGATTGTACCGAGATTTGAAAAAGACAAAAATTTAATAGAGAATGTTCAAAGACGTGCAACAAGGATAATTCCAGGCTTGAAGGGCAAGTCCTATGAAGAAAGATTAAAGATTATGAAGCTTCCAAGCCTCAGTTATCGACGTCTGCGTGGGGACCTCAATGAAGTATACGAGTAAACCCATGGTTTATACAAGGTCCCAGAAGGATTACTAGAATTTGAAACAAGAACCAACACCAGAGGTCACGGCTATAAACTAAAAAAATTACGCTGCAACTTCTCCACGCGACAAAATTTCTTCTCGCTTCGAATCACCGACATGTGGAACAGCCTCCCCGATTACATCGTTGGCGCTCCGAGTATGAACGCGTTCAAGAACAGACTAGATAAAGCTACAGAAAAATATATGTTCAGATTTGAAATGCCTAGCACCTTATCGAACCCGGTGGAAGTCTAGTAGCTACTTTAGACTATCGTCAGTTTTGGAAAGATCCGGTCAAATGACACGATTTCAGATCTTCTGTGAACATGTCACGAAAATTTCAAGAATCGGCGACAGGCCACATCAGGCCTTCTCTTCAGCGTCGACATCATATGTTATATTATGTTTATACGGTGTTGTCAGGGTGGTACGGTGTAGTCTGCATGTATGATACGGTCTTGGCAGTGTGGTTCAGTGTAGTCTGTGTGTAGTTTGTATGAAACGGTTGACTTACTGTATTATGTTCGAGTTAGCAAGTTATAGTCGAGGTAGTGTGACAGGGTGTAGGTAGTGTGGTATGGTGTAGTTGGTGTGGCATGGTGTAGTTAGTGTGGTATGGTGTAATTAGTGTGACATGGTGTAGTTAGTGTGGTATTTTGTGTAGTTATAGCGGCTGGGTTTATCTTTTGCATGCAGCTACGAATATTCCACAGTTCTATTAAGTTGTATTGAAGTTCGCTCTTCATATCATACACAACATGTTTGAAGAGTTTGCGTAGTATTCATTTATGCGTACATGCTAGCATGTGTATTCGTGCTGAATAACAACCTTTTAATGATTTTCATGAATGATTCCCATTATAAAAAATTTTACTGTCACCTCGTCCCCTCGCGCAGGGAACTACTCATCTGTATATGCTTGCATGTGTAATTGTGTATTCATGCTGAACAAGAACGTATTAATGATTTTCATGAATAAATTCCCCATAAAAAAATTTCCAATGTATTATTAACTTGAACCTCGCGCAGGGAACTACTCATGTGTATGTGTTAGCATGTGTATTCATGCTGAACAACAACCTATTAATGATTATCATGAATGATTTCCATTATAAAAAATTTTACGGTTACCTCATCACTTCGCGCAGGGAACTACCAGCACGCACACGACCTGCTGCTGGGGATGTGCAGGGAGCTGGCACGTCAGAACCTAGCCGTCCCTAGCGAGATGTCCTCATCCCTGCTGCTCCTACACTCCTACACCCTGGCTAGGATGTGGGTGAAGAAGGCTAAACATGACATCGCCGCCAGACTCCTACTTAGAGTCACCAACAGCATCTCCAAGTTCCCTGCCCGTAAGTGATCATCTTTTTCGGGAATCAAAAAATTTTGTTGGGTTTTATTATAATGTAAAAGTTTATCAAATTTTACTGCTCGCACACTGGTTTTATTATAATGTAAAAGTTTATCAAATTTTACTGCTCGCACACTGGTTTTATTATGATGTAAAAGTTTATCAAGGTGTGCTGTTCATGTGCGATCATGTATATCAGAAATTGCGAAACTTTTTGCTTTATTAAGGTATTAAAATATTGTCCAAATATTTTGCTTGTAAGCAAAATATTCCTGATCTTGTGTACCAGGAAATAATCAGATAAAGTGTTTTTATGTGGTATGAAAAGTTTCTTGCTCGTGACCGATGGCCCTTGTCTGGGATTAAGGAAGTCTCTGTTATTTTCCGACTGTTCAGAAAATCCCTATGTGCTTTTTTTTGCCAGTTGACGTTGATTATTGTCTGAGTGGAATTTCAAAATTAGTTTGCGTAACAAAATTACCATGGTAGCAAGGTTATTAATTTGCGAGTCTGTCAACCCCTCCATGTTTGATGCAGACGGAATTTTAAATTCTGGCCAGTATTTCTCATAGCTAGAAATTTTTCTTCCCATCTCGTGTTTTTAATCGGATGATTTGTAGCCTTGAATGCATTGAATCTGATTTGTAGCCTGTATGAATCTGATTTGTAGCCTTGAATGCATTGGCCATTATCCAGTTTTAAACAATCGCAGTAAACCGAGTCGTAAAGTTTGCTTCTCCGAAACCTCAACCAAAAAAAATGTCTGTATTAAAGTTATAAAACCCAACATCCACCCTGATACTGTTATCATTATTTTAATTATAATTTTTATTATTTTATTGATATTTTACTTTATTTATTATTTTTTTTTAATTGATTTTTTAATATTTTACTATTTTATGTTCTGTCATCCCCCAGACGCCGTGCCGATTCTGACGTCGGCCGTGATAGAGTGCCACCGCGCGGGCCTCAAGACGTCCTCCTTCAACATCGCCGCGATGCTCATGCGGCCAGAGATGCGCGACCAGGTGTGCATGCAACGCTTCATTCATTTATTCCAGTTCATTCAACAGACTCATTTAGTGCCGGAATAAAGGTATATGCGTACAATTTAATGACCATAGAGTGCATTATAATTTTCATGGGGTCGAACTATTCTTTAGATGACGTTTGTAGATCAAAGGGCAGATTTAGAAAATAATAATAATATATTAACGACGTTTCGAATGTAGCAACATTCATTTTCAAGTTAAGAGAAGCATTGAATAAGGTATTAGGAGGAAATTTCGGAATTCGAATCTTCAACCCCGTTATGTTTAGCAAATCAAATATCGTAGCAGTTCCTATCATCCCTAAATAAAATATATATTTTGGTAATAGCAGCAAAAAAATCATTGAGCAAGTAAACAATGGATAGTTTCGAAATTTGTAGACCCTTCTTCGATACAGTGGAATGGGAAGTAAGGTCCAGATGCATATTTTATATTAATTCTGTGTGTCAAATCATTGCATTATTAAAAGATATCGAAAAAAGTCCGCCGACTCTTTGGTGTGAATGATTGGTAAGTTTGCAATTTCTAACTTATTACGTTTGCTACTTTTCATACCCGCTATCTTTTACATACGATAATTCACACATTTGCTACTTGTTCTTGATTTTCACGAGGGACAGTCAAATCTCCCATTCGGTGATCTTATTTCCCAGTCTTTCATCATATCCCATAGTCTATTATTTTATTTTCCCTCGTTTACTATTTTCGCCCAATCAATTTCCCCACTCTCTTTCATTGTATGTCCATCTTTCCCTCTTTCTTAGTATATCTCTCTTTTACTTCCTTCCACTCTCGTTCTCTTTTTTCTCACTTGGAATATTTAACGTTTTTTATGCTCATGTTGACATTGTTCGGTACTTTAGTCTTGTTCCCGCATAGAAGGAATTTGTGGCGACCACAATAACAATCCTGCACGTTTCAAAAACGCAGGAGATTAACTTTAAAAAATAACGCTATTATAATACCAGTGACAAGCGGTGAGTAGACGTTGCTTAGCTAACAAGGCTAAATGACATGGATGATTATATAGCTAACGCTAACACGGCTTATTAATAAGGAGGATTAGCTAACGCTAACAAGGTTTCTGTTTCAGGTTTCTCAAAAAAGTTACATAAATTTACGAGTAATTCTCGCGCGCATTTGCTTGTAACGTTTGTCGCGGTTTCATATAGATGGTCTTAATTACTTCGAATTTTACTCAAAATATTTTTAGGACTCGGTCACAATTGGCAAGCATGTCTGGGGTACAGAATAGTTACATTATTTCTTCAATAATATCGTTCATTAATTCATCGAATTCCTGTGTTCCGGGAATAGGGTTCCCTTTCAAATTGTTGGTTCGATGTCATGCAAAAAGAATTCCCTTTAGGAAGTTATTTTCATATTTCTTATGTCACGATTTTTTATCGTCAGGCTCTGTTTTTTTTTTATATTCGTGTTATCTTATGCTTGCAGATGTGTTTGTTTATGGACACCCAATAATTATTTCTTGATGATATTTCTCGAATTCAAATCTGAAAACATTATCTATACTTCTGAAGCATAACTTTTTCTCTCTCTCGATGAAAAGATCGACGAGAAATACAAGAAAAAAATTGAAGCAATTGTTCGCAAGCCAACAAAAGGCCGCGAAGACGAAGAAGAAGCGAAGTCCCCTTGTCCGTACTGCAGCGAGGGCAACATGCCCGAGAGTGCCCTCGAGTGCCATAAGTGTCATCGACAGCTGCCATATTGCATCGTCACGGTATGTGCATATTTCATACTGTATTTGTATAGTTAGGCAGAAGTTTTTCTTTTATGCAAGTTTTATTGAAGACCAGAGCGTATATCTTATTAATGATTATCTTATTAATTTTCTCGATACTGCGAACTAGGCTTTTTGCGAGATTTAAAAGTTCGAATATAAGGTTTCCAAATTTTCATTTCAGTCATTTCATTTCATACTGTAGATATGCCTTGGTAATGTACTATGAATCTTCAATACTGAGGCTATGCCTTGGTAGTGTACTATGAATCTTCAATACTGAGGCTATGCCTTGACAGTGTACCATGAATCTTCAATACCGAGATTATGTCTTGACAGTGTACCATGAATCTTCAATACCGAGATTATGTCTTGACAGTGTACTATGAATCTTCAATACTGAGAATATGCCTTGACAGTATACTATGAATTTTCAATACTGAGGATATGTCTTGGTAGTGTACTATGAATCTTCAATTACGATGCAGGTGCTTTTATATGAATGGTTCATGGTGATATGGTGATAGCATTTAATATACATCATCTCTATTTTGATATTCATTGTTATGTTTTTACAGTATTTCGATCAAATTCATTTCCACGTATCATAATAATTATTTTTATGCGTTCTAGCTCATCTCGTTTGCTCTTCTAATTACTTAACCGTTTTACCGCTCAGGGTCGCCACATCGTAGCGAATGACGTCACGTTCTGCCCTTCGTGCCACTTCCCTGCCATCCGCACATTTTTCCTGCAGTAAGGCAATGCAGCGAACCGGCAGCGCTCGATTTTTTTTGTCATGCATCGTCAGTCAATTTTGCCATGCATCGTCAGTCAATTTTGCCATGCATCGTCAGTCAATTTTGCCATGCATCGTCAGTCAATTTTGCCATGCATCGTCAGTTAATTTTGCCATGCATCGTCAGTCGAATTTTTTTGCCATGCATCGTCAGTCAATTTTGCCATGCATCGTCAGTTTTGCCGCGCATTTTTTCAGCAGTCAGTGCAGCGAACCGGCAGCAGTCGATTTTTTGCATATACTTTATTCTAAGTCTATTAAATTTTGCATTTATAAATATTATTCTAGATTATAATCATGTTCAGGTCAAATGGAGGCAAGTAACTCGTGTTTGTTTGTTAGAATGATAATTATCATTGAATCATTTAAAAAGTGTTGAATGCACTCTGTACAAAAGAATTATTCAGTTCTCATCATCCAAATCCGACTATTGAAATTTCTTACATGCCGATTATTGACATTTTTCAAATCCGACTATTGACATTTTTTCACAAGCCGTTCTCAATTGATACCAACAAAAACTGCTGTCACCACGACCCGAGTTCTGCTTTCTGCTATGAAGTTTTATTGGAGTAACTTCATAATTATCTTCCTATATCATGTCACCTAATCAATAATCATTGTCACTTCCATACGCTACTGTTGTAGCTAACTTCATTGTTACCCTCACGTCACCTAATTATTGTCACCTAATCATTGTCCCCTAATTAATGTCACCTAGGTAATCGTTGTCGCCTAATCATTGACAACTAATCATTGTTACCTAATCATTGTCATTTAATCATTATCACCTAATCATTGTCATTTAATCATTATCACCTAAATCATGTCATTTAATCATTGTCACCAGGATACCCCTCATATTAAAATAATATTTATGAACATTAACAATTATAATCATTTCCCACGACGTCCCAGGCTGGTGGAGGAGGGCGGGGACTGTCCCATGTGCAGGGAGGCTGTAGACGCGGAGGCGCTGGTGCTCAGTGAGGACTGGAAGGATAAGGTGGAAGTCCACAGCCGCGAGGAGAAGACTGACGACTGAAGCAGGCGAGGACTGGAGCAGACGACTGAAGCAGACGAGGACTGGAGCAGACAAGGACTGGAGCAGACAAGGACTGGAGCAGACAACAACTGAAGCAGACGATGAATGGAGCAGACGAGGACTGGTTTGCACTAGGCCTAATTCAACATAAATAATCGCACCCGATGCTCCCAGAAGTTGGTGTACTTTTCGCATTCACTCCTGGAAACTTCGTTTCGTCCATAACTGAGATCGTTTTTGAAACTGTTGCCTGCATGTTTCTATTCATAATCAACTATAAAATATTATCAGAACAGTGAATTTTTTTAAATTGAACGGTAGGTTATTCATGGTTATGTACCTCTTCCTCTTGTATCAGTCTTTAGTCATTTGACTTAAACGCCTCTTCGAGCATCGCGTGAACGATCGTTGTTTGCGTTCAGCACCTCGAAGTGACGTATTTAAAGACAGCCGTTGTCTTTAGGCTGAACACCTTATTAAGTTATTAAATTATATTAAGTTATTGAAAATTATCGTATAAACTTATGACACGTTATTTCCTTGAAATTAATGGTCGATGGCACGCCATACAACAGCACAGTATTTATCATCAACATATTTCTAACTTGTCTCGGGCTTTGAACAACATATTGCTTCAACTTTTCATGTCATTGTTGCATGTGACAATTGTCTGAATTATCGTAAATAAAATATTAAATTATTATTTTCCGTAATTGTTCACTGTGCCCTGCGTTTTAATAGCTGTCACAGAAAATTGCCCATATGATTGGTAGCTGAATAAGTGATCACCGTTTAAACTTTAAAAGCATCGTAAATTTAGTGTGTAATGCAACAAATTTGGGTATTGTTTCGTATTATTCTGGTACTAAAATCAAGTATAAAATGTAAATTGCTTCACTTGTAAATAGCTAATGTAAAGTTTAGCACCACATGAATGGACCGCAGGTTAAATATCAATGTTCATCAGCAGTTAACTATTTTTTTTTTATAAATTTAACCCAATAAATTAGTAATTAAATTTATTCATCTCGCCTAAGAAAATTGCTGTTTATTTCACAGTAAAACCAACTCTGATTGAATTGTAGAATTACGAATTATAATAACAAAGAACTTGTTGCACATACAATGACAGGTTAAAGGTGAAATTAAACTTGTATTTGAAAGCAGAGTTTATTGAGAGCTACTCATGGAAGCGACCATTGGTCTGGTACTACAGGATTTATTTACAGGACTCGGCTCATATGTACAGGAGTTGACTCTAGGACGCGTCGGGTGGTGAGGGATGATAGTGGTGTTACTCAGTGATAACACTGCACTGCAGTGGTGTGACAGGTTAGCACTGCTGCAGTGGTGTGACAGCTTAGCACTGCTGCAGTGGTGTGACAGCTTAGCACTGCTGCAGTGGTGTGACAGCTTAGCACTGCTGCAGTGGTGTGACAGGTTAGCACTGCTGCAGTGGTGTGACAGCTTAGCACTGCTGCAGTGGTGTGACAAGCTAGCATCATCTCGCACCTAGCAATAGCGATACTCAAAGCTAATTTTTGTGGCTTTGTTTGTGCATGAGTCACTAGAATCTACATAACGCTCTCTTATAACCTGGATTAACAATAGTGATGTGAATTTCGGTGACCGCAGGTGTAGCCACCACCACATCCGTGGTGCACTTAGTCTGTAATCCGCCGATGCTCATTTAGTCTATTAATAAATATTACAACAAATGCTCTAACGCTAACATAACGGCTGCCACGACGCGCTTTGAGTGAGCTTCACTCACGCTACAGCTGCCACGCTAGTATATCGGCGCACGATTCACTCACGCTACAGCTACCACGCTAGTATATCGGCGCACGATTCACTCACGCTACAGCTGCTACGCTAGTATATCAGCGCACGATTCACCCACGCTACAGCTGCTACGCTAGTATATCGGCGCACGATTCACTCACGCTATGTCTGCTACGCTAGTATATCGGCGCACGATTCACTCACGCTACAATACAGCTGCTACGCTAGTATATCGGCGCACGATTCACTCACGCTACAGCTGCCACGCTAGTATATCGGCGCACGATTCACTCACGCTACAGCTGCCACGCTAGTATATCAGCGCGCGATTCACTCACGCTATGTCTGCTACATGTTCACTTAGCGCGCGATATAAAAAAACGCTGGTTTAGAGGCAATCCGTCTACATTTTATTCACAAATACTTGAATTGCATATGATCGGGACTTTAAAATCTGCAATTCTCGAACTATGATTATTTTTCAATTCACATTGTTTGAAGCCGAATTTTCTTGAACAGGAAATTACAGTATTCATTAAGTTTGAATTCCGAAAGATGCAAGTCATCGTATGGTAGCGAGTGCCAACAGAGCATTTCACAATTCTCGTAGAAATAATTCAATCGATAATTGGACGCATTCATCTGTATGGCAAATAAATGATTAACTAGGTATTTATTTAACTATAGCGGTAAGTTGGAATTATTCGATTATGGGAGTAAAGTTACACCGAACACAATAAAGAAAAATAATCATTGCTGAAGAGAGTATCTATTTGCAAACCAAGTTAGGTTTCGATCTTATTCATCATGATAGAAGAACAGGAAGAAATTGGAGGAAGTCTTATAACCTGATTACAAATCTATAAGTACCAATAAACACCGTTCTTCTATAAGATCCTTCTGTTCAGATAAATAAAAATAATATAATTACTGAAGTATACACAATTCAACATACGAGTCATTATACACATTCCTTCATTCATCTTATTTGCATATCTGCACCGGCAACATGCGCTTTTAACTTAACTGTGAACAATTAACATTGACAAATTAGATAAGGTAATAATTAAGGTATTTTTACTTTGAAACTGTTCATACATTTCAGCTTGAAGCTTTAAATTCGAAATGTCGACTAGAGCTAATTAAATTAAAAATTGAAAAAGAACATAAAAGTAAACACATTAGTGGAGCAAATGTTCGAGAACATACAAATTTTCCAGCAGAACAAAAAAATTTGTGCGAAATTTAGTATAGAAATACACCTTGCAATCACTTAGAAAACAAGCTAATTTTGAAAAAGACCAATCTCTTCTTTTGTGGCTCATTCAACAAAATATTTAGAAACCCTCCGCATAATTTGAAGGCCAATTGGAGAATAAATATCATAAAAAACACCGAGTTCAAGTTCTAGTCTAAAACCAAGTCATCATAAACGCGTACTATAAAACCTAGAAACTGAGCAAGTCATTCACCAAAATGAAATATAAAAACTTAATCAAATAACTTCTTCTCAAAAAAGTGACAAAGCTCGTTTCCAAGCTGGTCGCACTTACGCTAAGCTGGCTATCACAGAGAGTTTTTAACACTAAGACACAATTGGAAAACACTTCGCACATTTTCGGTAGCACGTGTCACTTTCCATAGTTTACACATGTATCACTTTCGGTTGGACACTTCCAAGTGTTCTGTCCAGTTTCCATAAAGTACACCCTCACATATCGCAACATTGTCTTCAATTCACTTTAATTTTCCATCCAAAGTTTACACCGACTGACAAATGCATAGTTTCATTTCAGGGGGGTTAATTATCACTTGATGCTTCACCTCCCGAGTAGCATTTTTCTGTTGCATCAAAATCCATCACTCGTCCCTCGTAGGAATAAGCCAGAACAAAAATCACTCGGCCAATTAGCAACTGCGCTATTCCTGGCGTCTTCGAGCTGGTACATTATACGCAGAATAATCAGAATAATTTACACGCATTGATACCACCGTGATAAACAGAAAAGTGTATATAACTACCAACAGCTTAGTATTCAAATATTCTACACGAATATTTGTCCGAGTCTTAAAACAAAAAATCTTTTCAAGAGAACTCCTCTTATTGAGCATCAATGAGCTCTTTTAACCCTCTCGCTCCATGTAAATATACATTATATAAATGAACTGCAAGCAAAAAGCGGACTGATCTCTGCTCATCAACATGAAAGGGTCCACGTTAAATTCTAGGCGGAGATATTGGTATAAATGGACGAATTATTCACCTTGGACAGTGAATCACAAGCAAACAACACGCAGATACGATGCACCGAGTAGAACGATCGTGCGAACGACAGAGAGGATATTCCTCTTTTGGCACTAGCCTTCATAGTTGGCATAGAAACAATGACAATAGAACGTAGGTAACTATTTAGATAACTTCCTCCAATGCCTGTGTGTCTCAGCTAGTGAATATATCCGACTAGGCATTGAAGTTTCCTCCCGCGCCAACTGATGCGGGACATAAACTCCATCAAATTTGCCGTACTTACATTAATCTAATGAATGATGGTTCGTGATCGAGCAGAAGCTTAGGAAGGTTGTTCTGCGAAGAAACAAACGTGAATTCACTGTGATACCTTAATGTGATAACGACAACAACAAAATACAGGAACTGGTCAACGGAATGCGTAAGTAGGATCCAAAGTTGATAAGCCTTCCAAAGCTCAGTTCTAAAAACGTGCATTAAAAACAAAACGTGCTGCAAGAATAGGCTGAGTAAATAGAAGGAATTTGAGACAAAATCTATACATAAATAGGCAAAAGCCAGAAATTTATCGAATGAAGAAATAACAATCCACCGACAACTAAGACTTGAAAGTAGTCTGAGAAACATCCGGCTGCAGAGACCAATAAAATTGGTGTCCTGGGCAGGATATTTGTGGTACATCGAAGGAACAACAAAGTATGTCAACCATGTAAATGAATTTCAGGATTAGAAAATTTTTCATTTAAAACAAAGAAATACGATGAGTTTAACGAATGACTGGTGAATCATCATTATTATTGGCTAACGATTCCGCTATTTCAAAAGAAAGCGCCACAGGATGGTCATGGTCTCGACTGTCATCAGATGCCATAACAGAGACAAGTTCTTCCACTTTAGTCTCGGCGAAAGGAGGAATCTCTGTTGTTGAATTTATCGTACGTGTTGCGTCCGTGGCACTATTAAATGTTTTTACCAATGATTCAGTGGTCAATATAGGTTTCGTTGAAACTGAATTTATACTAGATGAATTTGCTTCGCTGTCTCCAGTAACTTCTTCTTCGACTTTGACTTCTTCGATTCTTTTGCTTCCGGAATTTTCAAGTTTAATCACCTCTAAAATATCTGCTCCCTTCGTAACGTCAGTTTCGAAGTTTTGATTCTCAACCGTGACGGTTTTATTCTCGTGCGTTATCGCCTCAATGTTCTGAAAAGAAACGGTTTCGTTGACTCTCTCATTAATTGCGATTGCCGGGGGAGTCGCCTGAGAAGTAACGTCAATCTTCGGTACAACTCCCGACTTCACAGAAGCTTCAACAGTAGGCGCCAGGACGTCTATTTTCCCTTCAACTTGAGGTTCTGAGGCCATTGTTGTTTGTAACAATTCCTGAGAATTTGGCAACAACGTGATACTTTCTACAGCTTCTTCGAACCCGGACTGAATTTCTGGTACATCTTGAGCTGCTACAGCATCAATAACTTTCTCAAATGATTGAGTAACAACATCCGATTCAGCAGCTGAGTCTACTCTTGCTTCTGGAGTAACACCAATCAAGGACTTGGCAGAAGTTTCAACTGGAAATTCGGTACCGACAGGCAACTCTGTTGCAAAATCTAAACCGTTGAATTCTGAAATTGTTTTAGCATCTTCTGGAAAGTAAAGTTCCGTTACGTCCTCGGGTAATATCGTCGTGATTTCCTCCAAACCGATTGCCTCGTTTCCATGGATAGCAGCTGAGATTGTCTCTTCGACTTCGGACATTTTAATGCCATGTGCTTTCGAATCACCTTCTGCCGGTGTAACCTCGGTTTCGAAATTGTCAAAATTTTGTTCGGTAGTAAATGATTCTGAAGCAAATTCAGTCAACAGTTTCAGCGATTCCTCGTGAACTGCATGAACATCGTCAGAAAATTCGCTAGAAGAAGCAGTTGTGTTTTCATGCAGTCCGTGCTCAAGCTTAGTGACGTTTCCGAGCCCACTAGTCCAATTATGAGGCACCTCACTGTGTTTAATTTCGCCATTTGTCTTGCTAGAGTCGTCAGGTTTTGAATGATCCAATACTTCACTCTCTTCTTCTGGAGGAAGCGGAGTGGACGGTGGTGGAGGAGTGGTGGTAGTAGTTGTGGTAGTCGTTGACGTGGTCGTCGGAGGAGGGGTCGTAGTGGTAGTTGTGGTGGTGGTGGTGGTCGTAGTGGTTGTGGTCGTGGTAGTAGTAGTGGTAGTGGTGCTGGCGGTAGTAGTGGTAGAAGACGTGGACGGAGTTGTGGTAGTTGAGGATACGACAGATTTGTCGCATTCTACTTCGCTGCTGTTGCCACATTTTTGCGTTTTCACATCAAAAATAGTTTCGCCTGTGCATAGAAATCGAAGATCAAGCACTTTGTCTTTCGTGAATCCAGGAGAGCAATAGTGGAAAACCTTGCAGTCCGCTTCAGGATCGGCATAAAACTGCTCGAGTTCTTTGTCTTTGCAAGTAAAGTTCGTCTCCGGTATATTATTTTTCGTGATGGAAGGATGCGATTCAGGCGTGCTGGTAGGTGCATCAGGAGTTGATTCTAGTGTAACGTTACTAGTCGATTCTCCAACCTCTGATGTAGCGTTACCAGCTGCGCCGGCAGGAGGGATTGCAGTAGTCGTTACTTCAGAAGTAACAACTGATCTGTTCGCCGCAACGTCGCTTACGACGGGCGTTGTAGTGGTCGGTTCAACATCGACAGAGCTCTGGTTCAACATTTCACTACCGTCAAGAACCGTGCCAGACGATGTAGCAGAATCATCTACTTCGACGATCGTTTCGGGAGCTCCAGTGGATTCAATTACTTCAGAGGTAGTAACAGAGCCGTTTAGTGTTTCAGGCGTGGTAGCAAGTTCATCTCCAGCCTTTGAATCGTTGAATTGATCGTTTGAAGGGACCGGTTGAATCGCAGCCGTAGGTTTATTGGGAAGCATTGCAGTTGCCGAGCTAAGTGATGGCGATGACATCATTTTTTCATCCGACACCGTATCCGCCAACTCGTCTTGAGTCTGTCGGGTGTCGGAAACAGCTGCTTGTGAAACCGAGAAAGCAGATTCTCGCTCCTTGTCTGAAACTGTTGTATCGCCATTGATCCCAGCAGGAGAATCAGTTGTGGGCATGATTGATGAAACTGTCGTTGATGTTTCAGGTGACCTTGTGTTCGATGATTCAACGGTCGAACCCAAATTATTAGCGTTTTCCTTAGCCCGGAAACCATTCTGCGGCAGCTGATTTGTATTTTTGCTAGTATTTGATATCAGAGCAGCCTTTTCGTTTCCCTTTTCGTTCTCCTCGTCTTCTGATGCATTTACATTATTAGCAGAAGTTACAACTGAAGAGAAACCGGAAATTATTTTAACTGTGTTTTTATTTTCATTTACGTGCCCAATATCCAGGGTTCCCATAATGTCGAAAACCGATATAGGCCGGTTTTCATTTACGTGACGAACTTCAGAAAAATCCTCGTTCCTGGGACCGAACTGAGTGAAAAACGAACTTCGCTTTCTTCTTTTGGCCAAGGAAATTTCTGGATAGCTCAGCGAAGCCAGTTGCTTGCCGCTATTCTTGTTCTTTTTCACGAATCCCGACGAGTCTGCATCGTGAAGCGAGTACATTTCAACAAAAGTCGAACTGTATCCGTTCTTCCTGATCCATTCCTGCAGTGTAGCGAGGCTGTAGAGCGCTCGTCGAACTCTTGCGTCCTCCATCTCGTTCAGAGAATGAACGCTGTTAACTAAAGGTGGTAGAGCGCTTCGACGTAACCTATGCGAGACCAACAGTGAGCCGGACTTACTGAAAGATTTTGATGATTTCCATTTACCTTCTTTAACGAGTGACTGTAGAAGTAGAGGGTCTTCTTTCCTCCCAGGAATTTTTTGTGTCCCGAAAACATTGTTTTCTGAAGAATCATCTTCGACTGGCGAGATAGGACCACGAGGAGATAAGAATTCCTCGAGAACCTCGTTCACGCACCGAACTTTGTGAGGGAGCTTACACTTCTTAGCCCTCTGGGAGAAGACGGTTCCGAGGGTACAAGAATGCGTGACTCTGAGTTTCTGGCCGCTGTGAGTTTTCTTGCAAATTGAATATGAGCGACACGACGCAGCGATATCAGCGACCGGGAAGCCCATGGGACGAGTCCGGCACAGAGGATCGTCCGCCTTCACGCTCGAGGTTTGCTTCTTGCCCGACGAACCTGCAAGGCGGAGGCAATACGTTGAAAAGGCCACTCAAGAATGCTACTGAAAAAGAGGCCAGTTAAAAAGAGGCCACTCAAAAAATGAGGCTCCTCAAAAAACGTGGAAGAGGCCACTCAAAAAACGATAATGTGGCTCGCGCTGTCATTTTGAATCATTACGTCGAAACAAAAATTAATTTAATCAGTGGCTGTGTGCAGATTGCGGAAAAATAATGCCCATCTCTACTAGATCCACTTCAAAACATAATTTTATTGCTATTTTTGCAAGCTATATATCGGTCCATTATTATTCCAGCTGCTGGGATAATGGGAGCACCCTATGGTTCCAGCGGCCTAGGTCCCAGCTATTGGTACCCAGCAGCCTAGGTCCCAGCACCCTATAGTCCCAGCTATTGACCTAGGGTCCCGCAACTGACTTTACATGTCCAAACATTGAATGGATGAACGATCAGGGCCTATACTTTCAAAAAAAAGTTAAGAGATCGTAAGTTCATCCGCCAATCATTGACGGCCTTTCAAGCAAAATCCACCAATAATAGACAAGTAAATAGAGCGCAAGTACTTACGTTCACTTAGCGAGTTTTGAAAGTATGGGCCCTGGTTATTACGCACCTCGAAGAGATCTCTTATTCCTGTTGTTGAAGTTGAGAGTCTTTGAAAAAATCACTTGGGAGCCTCTTGCATTTGGAGCTGTCAGAGAATGGACCTGGGAAACAGGACTGGGAGCGAGGCTGCGTTGTGGATTAATGGCAGAACCGGAGACGGGAGCAGGAATTTCTTGGCGGGCAACTGCTACAACGGGACCGGCGCCGTCAACACGTGGGAAATCAAACTGACTTTCCGGGAGCAACGATGCGATGTCCACAGGAACTGCGCATGAATACTTGAGTTAGGCGAATTTTGTTTCCGACATCACAATGCACCGTCAAAAACTCGGTTGATAAATACTTTCATCATAAACCGTTACCGTGCATTTATAAATTAAGCATATCGAATTTTTAGATTAAAAAATCACTAACATATGAAACATAGGCAGCATTAGCATTAGTTCAAATAACTTCAATTTTCAGTTTATTTATTTTGAAAACGTTACTGAAAAATTCGTGTGATATCGGCGAGTAAATGCCACATAAGCCGATTCATACCAAGAAGCAGTGTTGTTAACTGAGTAAAATTTAAAACATGGAACAGACCTCAATACAGGGAATACTAGTGAAAAATATGAATTCATCTATAAAATTACGGGCATATATATACGCCATAAATTGCTATATATGTCTGTGGAAGTGCCAGATTGCCTAAAAACTAACCGTTTTTCAACTTGATTGAATTGCAACAATCCTAATATAATATTGAATTGAAACAATCACAATATCGAATTGCAACAATCACAATTGGCTATAATCATAGGCAATTTCAGTTTAAGGAATAAAGTCGATTATTAGTTCCGCGCATGACTGTTGACTGTTGAATGATTTCTGCGAAACTTGAAAAAAATTAAGTTAAATTAAAAAAATATAAACGCATTAGTTGACAGGTCATACATTGTTGAACCTGGCTAAAAACTATAATAGCACGAGACAAAGATAGACATATTAATTGGTCCCGGCCGTACCAGGATGTCTGTAGTGCTCGTTGAGGTGGTAGAAATTCTCGGCGTTTAGGCAGTCGACGTCTGAAGGATCGCGACACGTGCGGCTCTCCTGGTCGAAGATGGTGCCGTTGCCGCAGAAAAACTTGTTGTCCAGTGAACTGAAAATGAATCACGGTAAAATAAATTACTTTCATACTTTTTGAAAATGTTGTGAGAAGGGTTTTTTAACATGAAACAGAAATTCGATTATTATTAGCGTTGAATAAACTGCTTGTAATCCTGCTTGCAAGATGATGATATAGAAGCAACTGAAGTTCCATCAAGTTCAATAAATCGGTAAATCACGAGCCGAAACGTACGATAAAACAAATGAACTCACCAACGAAACAATAAAATGAATCCATAACGAACCTGCCGTCGAGTTCTGGTGAGCAGATGTGGAACATGAAGCAACCAGCCTCGATGTCTGCGTAGAGTCCGCCGAGGACTTTGCCTTCACACGTGAAGCTCGTTTCCGGAAACACGATTGGCGCTGGAGTCGTGGTTGTCGTCGTTTCGATGGCATCTTCTTGTGCAATTGCGTCCACAAGTGAATCCTTTGATGTATCCTCGACTTGATCCACGATTTGATCTTGAACTTGTTCCAAGACCTGAGAATCCCCGTGCACTGCGAAGTCGTTTTCCGGTTTCGTTGGAACGGTTTGCAGTCTTTGGGTATTAGTCCGAGTCTTAGTTGGTCTAGAAGACAAAGAGGGTTGTAGTGATGAAATCACCCTCAAGGGCAGTCGGTTCCTATTCCGTTCCTGGGTCTCGTCAGCTTCAGCTTGACTGGTCGAGGGTCTACCAACTGCAGGTTGCCTTCGAGTTGCAGGAGGAACGACAGTAGAAGATTGACGAACTCTGTCACGCTTTTCTTCTTCTTTTCGGATAAATCTGAAACGTCCACGAGATGAGACTCGACTTGTAAGTTCATGAGGCACATTGGCAACATTCTCACCATTTCTGGCATTTACTTGATTTCTCCTGCTACCATCCTTACGTCTACTAGAAATAACAGAATCAATATTAGACACTGGCACAGAAGAATCAAATCTACGAGAGTCAGAAGGTAGGTCTGAGTCCAAGTCTAAGTTGGTTATCGTTGCTGAGTCAGCCCTGGGGGAAGAATTAACAGCAGTTACAGTCCGAGTCTTAACGTTTATATTAGCTTCGGTCTGGCGTCCAGAAGCTCGATCTGTCAAAGGAATAGAAGTTAAAGAGGAAGTTCTGCCCACAATCCTGTTCCTAGAACTGCTGAAAGAGGATCGTTGTCTGTTATTAGGGTTAGTGGGGAGTATCTCAAAGGGTGCGGTTTGTCGTTTGGTTCGTTTGTACAAATGTCGAAAGTGTCTAAGCGTTCGTTCTACGTTGGATCTATCAGGATTACTGCGAGGTAACCTAAGCACGTCTTCAAAATCGGGAGGGGGCTCTCTAGTTAGTGGAATGTTGGGGGGATTTTCGGATATCGGTGGGACTTTAAACTCATCGAGAGTCTCTAATGTGTCACGTTGTAGGGTCTTTTTTCCCTGAGCTGCCAACCTTAACAAAGAAGGACGGAGATGAGGAGCTGGGTGCCTCTGACTATCCGTGCCTTGATCGAGAGAGAATTGCGATATTGGGGTCTGGATATGAACGCGTGAGGACGCCGAAACGGAGGTCGAAGAAGTGGTTCGCCTACTGACCACAGTGAAAGGAGGTGCGGGCATTGAGAAGCCTACCGACGAAGACGAAGTGGTCATGCTTGTGGTGGAAGCCGTGACGCCTGAGGGAATGCCCTCGGGACCCGAGGGGGCAGAGGTTGGGAATCGGAAAGAAGACGCTTGGGGTTGTGGGGTTGTTGAAGTTGTGGAGGACGAGGGTGATGAGAGAGGTGCAGAATTTTGTTGTGCAACGGGAAGGGTAGGGATTCCTAATGAGAAGGTGCGGGAATTTTTTGAGGTGCTTGGTCCTATAGGAGGTTCGGGAAGTGGTGAAGGAAGAGAATCTAGAGGAGGGGTGTCCCCCATCAATGCTTCAAGGGGATCGAGCACCAGTGAGGCGACATCGCTCGTAGGAGGTTCGGGATCGAGTCTGTTGGAAAATATTCGTGAAAAAAATGCTTTTGGATCAAGTGACGGCGATAGCGACGAACCATGGGTAGAACGGGTAAAATAATTTACGGTTAGATGTATCGAAATGAAATCTCCAGAAGTGAGTCCTAGTAAATTTACTCCAACAATACCCACGACTTTCAAGAATACTTCAGTATAATGAATGTAAAAGATATGAATGAAGGCAATGAAGAATAACTAAAAAATCGATATCTACATCTCCGATCACATGGGTCTTGGAAATAGAAAATCAGTTAATGAAAATAAAATATCAATAATACAGTGTGCTGCTCACCGTCCTTATTTTGATCATTTTCTCTATATAAATGTATATTATCGTACCTGTGAAAGAAACTAGAATTTTTCAACATCCGATTTTTAAAATTCCTTACAAATGACGTAAAAGAACGCAAACGGGAGGCACAGAGAGGTGAATCATTTCGTGAAGCTGATGCTTGAAAATGAACGCGGTCTATAATTTTTTTAATATAGAACAAACAATTGTAAAAGGGGACTCCTATTATAACGTGAAATTAGGAGTTCTAGAAACGATAACGTCGTAAAATTTAGTGAAGGTTAAATTTAAAAATTAAATTTAGTGAAGGTTTAGTGGTTCCACACATACGACGTAAAGATTTTTTGTGAAAAAATGTATAGGCATTTAATCCGCTAATATAAGAAGAATCGCCTATTTAATTTAACATTTATTGTTAAGAGCCTATTAACCGCGGTTAAGAATCGCCTATTTAACCGCAGATTAGAGCGACCACAAGTACTCTATTTAGAACGTTATTTTTACCCTAAAACATTAAATTTACTATCCCCTAAAAATTTTCTAAAAAACATGAACTAATGTTGTAACACCACGAAAGCAGAAGGAAAAGCTGGAAAGAAAATGAGAAGAATGTGAGCGATAAACATGCTTGGTGCCAGACACGAATTTGACCTTTCAATAATTTGAAATATGTGCCGATATCCTGAAAAAATTTGTAGAAATTTACGAAAAATAAAATAAAATAAATATGAATATTTGTTCACAAAAATGAAACAATGATCATTCTACTATAAAAATCATCGAGCTCCTCGACGCAACTATTTCTCGAAAAAATATAACTCAGTACTCACTGCAGTGAGTGACAGAGAGCGCATTTTCTCGTCGACGAAAACGTGAAGTAACGGACAAACGGACGGACAGACGGACAAACAGACAGACAGACGGACATGACGAGCACAATAAAGTCTTATCTCCATAAATGAGAAAATGCGCTAAAAATAAAGAAATATATAAAAATATATGTTCAAATTAAAAAAAAATGCGTTGCGATCTGTTCGTGGATGTTAGTTCATGATCGTAGAACGATAATTAAATCGTCGCACTTAGCAAGCATTGATTAAATGAAGCCCTGCGCACTTCAGTACTGTATTTTTGTATCATTTGTTAAAATTGTTTTTCTATACCTTTTGAAGATAGAGCTTTAGGGCACACATGAATTGACTTAAACTTCAATAAAGACAAACAAAATAAAAAAATATAGTGTAAATAGCAGTACAACATCGGTATATTATGAAAATTATGCATGAACTGACGAAAAAGTCACTCGTGTACAAATAAGGATTAAACTCGAGGTTCTAATCCAAACGCCCGCAAGAAAAGGAAGAAATAGATTACGGTAAGAGCAAACATTGATGAGCAATTACATGCAAACATGCAAATGAGAAATCCAAAAATATTTAGTTGGAAGAGGAATCGAAAAGTTGATAATGACATGATAGAATTTACTTAAAGAGGAACTAATAATGAACAAGAAGTGATATAAAAATGGTGGTCATAGAACAAACCCATAGAGACAAGCAAATCATATGAAAATATCTCGAAATCTAGTAAAGAAAAGTCGAATAAATATTAGAAATATATCAAAATAAGAATATATATAAGAAATGATATTAAGATAATATATGTTATTTTTATAATAAATATTATAAATATATCAAAATAAGATGTATTCTTAAAACGGAACGCTATTCTACCCATCATGAGAATAAATCATATAAGATCAAAATATAAGACAATAATCGGAGGAATTTGTAACATCGTATAACATAAGAATATATTAAAATAAAGACAATAATCAGGGGAATTTGTAACATCGTATAACATAAGAATATAAAGATAAAGACAATAATCGGAAGAATTTGTAACATTATATAACATAAGAATATAAAGATAATAATGGAAGGAGTTTATAAGAAAGGAACGTACGCGGTGTCAGGTATAATGCCGGGGCCGTACAGGTCGTTGTTGAGGTGGTAGAAGCTGGCAGATTTACTGCAGTCTACCTCATCCTCGCGCTCACATACGCGCGTCTCTTGGTCGAACACCGTGCCGTTGAGACAGCGGAACACGATGTCCCGTATGGTGCCTGGGGTGCACGCGGCTCAAGTTAATACAGTGAATAACAACAATGATATATTAACTTGGCAAGACACCAACTATAAACAGAATTCGCAAAAAAAACGCATCAAAATACGCAAAATTCTTAAACAATAAATTAATGTAAAACAAATTAATGTCTACTGTTTCGTCTATGAAGTAGGACAAAAATATTATAAGTGTATTATCATTTGTACGTCGGATTACTCTGAAATTCTGAATGCAAGAAAAAATTTATTACAAGTGGAGTGTCATTGAGCGTTTGGGAAAATAAATTAGGAAAGCTAGAAATGGATATGTAAATTCAAAAAGTACTTTACGAAAGATTCCAATCCTTTAAATATTCTAGCTTGTCATCACCTTGTGGTGAGTTATTTAACGAGTTATTGAAAAAACATATCCACAACAGATTTCCTCATAAGTGGCACAAATCTAATTGAATTTCTCATATTATCAAGTTCTACATTGTGATATCTGTAGTAATTTTGAAAATTTTTCATTAACTTAATTAACCTCACTATTTATAACTAAGGCCCGACTTTCCATCTTCACCGGACTGGATCAGAACAACAACAAACATGCAGCACACAACTTTTCGTTTGATTTGTGATTGTCAAGTACAAGTGAAAACAACTGTAAACTGAAGGATGTTAGTGTAATAATTCAATGGTAATATTAGTACAATTTCAGTTTTTCGTTTGATTTGTGATTGTCAAGTACAAGTGAAAACAACTGTAAACTGAAGGATGTTAGTGTAATAATTCAATGGTAATATTAGTACAATTTCAGACCGTTTTCGCCGAGTGTGCAGACATGGAACATCTGACAGCCCATGTGCGTGTCGGCGTAGTAACCTCCTATCACCTTCCCTACGCAGCTGAAGCCTGTCTCTGGCACGTCTTTGGGCGTCACGGGCTGGAGGATAAAATACGGAGATTAACACGCGATAAAAACCTATCAATTACACACCCGAAATTACCTTATGAACAGTGAATATTCAAATGCATGGGGCCTATTTGTGACAGAATCAAACCAGATTACCGACACTTACCCCCAATCATTACCAGTCTACGACGTACAACCAATAAAACATATACATATACAATACATATATAAATATAAATCACATTAACAAACACACATCAATCAAATTTACTTTCAACAATACACTAATATATACCAAAT